TGTTTCACCTCGTCTTTTTCATCTTTTAGAAGCGATGTTCCACTTTACCAGATCTCTTCGGAAATCACTCTAAATGATCAGTGATCGTTTTCCGCTATCGGTTGTGCTTGGTGCTCCATCACCATCGGAAGAGCTTCGAATTGCGTAAATAGATTTATCTGGGCTATTTCACATCAGAAGATTTTCAATAGTTTCAAAATTCTGAGAGCCAATAGTTGAATTCCTGAAAAGCTGAGCAGAGCAGCGATTCGTAGCGGTGCCACCCTAAATTCTTCCTGATTTGCTGTCCTGTTAATGCATTTATTTTGTGATATTTGTCTAAATTTAACTAAGGAGTGGATAAAAAAAAACTAAAAGAGAGTGGTTGATTTGTGCGCAATTGTTGGGCAATGAAGTCAAAAACTAGCGAAAACCATGATTCTGCCGAGAGGGTTGGCACCTCTGAACTTCGAAGCACTATAAAAATACGTAACACTGTGTTTCTGAGCTAAAAAAATCAATGGAAATTGAAAGCAAAAATTAACTTGGAAATTTCATATAAATCTGAAATTAGGGGGCAATTGAATACTCTGGGTGTCGAGAATAATTTGCAGCGGTAATCCGTTCAAAAAAGTAAAACTCAAAAATTCTGAGCAGAAATGAGACTCGGCTATACATTTGGCGAATTGTTTTTGAGAGAAAATTCCTCTTCAGAGCAAAGAAAAATTTAAAGTGACGAAAAGCAATGATCTCAGTGATATCATTGGCAATCTTTTGATATTGATTGAGAGATAGACATATAATTTAATGACACATTTTCCGATAGCTTAAAATTTTACCTTTATTCTCAAATGTCTCTCCAGAATTCTTTTTCACGTGTCCCTCTCTACAGTACACACACTTTCAAGAGCTACTATTAGAGCTTACTTTTACTATTAGGTGGTTTAACAAATTTTTAATTATCCGGTTTTTTGACGTCATTGGCTTTTTAGTCATGTAAGTCATGACTCAAAGCACGTTGGGGTTTTCGAAAAGTCTCAAGATTTTGGTATCTGATTGACTGACTTAATGACTTAATGGTATCCACGATAGCGGTGTGCAAATAATCATATCGATACTTTCTTTGCTCTCCTTCTCTTCTTTCCTTTCTTCTTTTGTCCTTTCTTTCCTTTCCTTTCCAAATAATCATTGCCCGATCGGTACCCTCTCAGGCACTGCACACATGTAATGCCGAAAAACCGCAAAATTGTGCGAAGTGAGGAGTGAGTGGCGGCAAAGGCCCTAGGTGTGGCATCTGACGGGCCCAGGGACTTGTCACTCACGTTTACAGCACAAAGCGAAACCTAGATCCAACTCTCAGAAAGATACGAAAGAAATGCAAGAATTGTCGAAAATCAGCCTTTCTTGCCCATTAATGCATAAAAACATTCACTAAATCAAATTTTATTACAGGTACATTCATCCTGCAATTGTTTCATATTCATTAAAGAATTTTTGTGACTTATGAAAGCCGGCTCTGGCCTGGGCTGATCTAGCCTGAGTTTACAGCGCCTGGACCCCGGTTGGAACCTTCGAGAAACCTTCTAAAGATTTCAAGAAACCTTCCTAAAGAGTTCAGAAAACTGCTACATCAGAATGGGCTTCGGTCTGAACCTCTGGGGAAATCCCCTCTAAAGCTTGGCAGGAACAAGAATTCTCTGAGTTTCAACCCGGCAACAGTAGGTAAGTAATTAGAGAAGGAAATAAAAATACGTAACACTGTGTTTCTGAGCTCAAAAATTGGGGGAATTGAAAGCAAAAATTAACTTGAAATTTCATATAAATCTGAAATTAGGGGCAATTGAATAATTGGGTGTCGAGAATAATTTGCTGCGGTAATCCGTTCAAAAAGTAAAACTCAAAAAATTGAGCAGAAATGAGACTCGGCTTTTATACATTTGGCGAATTGTTTTTGAGAGAAAATTCTCAGAGCAAAGAAAATTTATGACGAAAAGCAATGATCTCAGTGATATCATTGGCGATCTTTTGATATTGATCTGCGAGATAGACATATAATTTAATGACACATTTTTCGATAGCTTAAAAATTTTACCTTTATTCCTCAAATGTCTCTCAGAATTCTTTTTACGTGTCCCTTCTACAGTACACACACTTCTCAAGAGCTTACTATTAGAGCTTACTTTTACTATTAGGTGGTTTAACAAATTTTTATCCGGTTTTTTTTTTTTTTTTTTTGACGTCATTGGCTTTTTAGTCATTAAGTCATGACTCAAAGCACGTTGGGGTTTTCGAAAAGTCCAAGATTTTGGTATCTGATTGACTGACTTAATGACTTAATGGTATCGATATGATTGTGCAAATAATCATATCGATCTTTTCTTCTTTTTTTCCTTTACTTTCTTTCCTTCTTTCTTGTCCTTTCTTTCCTTTCCTTTCCAAATAATCATTGCCCGATCGGTACCCCTCTCAGGCACTGCACACATGTAATGCCGAAAAAAACCGTAAATTGTGTCGAAGTGAGAGTGAGTGGCGGCAAAAGGCCTAGGTGTGGCATCTGACGGGCCCAGGGACTTGTATCACGTTTACAGCACAGCGAAACCTAGATCCAACTCTGAAAGATACGAAAGAAATACAAAAAATTGTCGAAAAATCAGCCTTTCTTGCCCATTAATGCATAAAAACATTCACTAAATCAAATTTTATTACAGGTACATTCATCCTGCAATTGTTCTGGCGGTTCATTAAAAAGAATTTTTGTGACTTATGGCCGGCTCTGGCCTGGGTCGCTGATCTAGCCTAGTTTACGTGCGCCTGGACCCCGGTTGGAACCTTCCAGAAACCTCTAAAGATTTCAGAAACCTTCTAAAGAGTTCAGAAAAACTGCTACACATCCGGCCGGTCTGAACCTCTGGGAAATCCCTCTAAAGCTTGGGGAAATATGAATTCTCTGAGTTTCAGACCAAGGTAATTAGAGAAGTAATTAGAGAAGGAAATAAAAATACGTAACACTGTGTTTCTGAGCTAAAAATTGAAATTGAAAGCAAAAATTAACTTGAAATTTCATATAAATCTGAAATTAGGGCAATTGAATAATTGGGTGTCGGAGAATAATTTTGCAGCAGAAATCCGTTCAAAAAGTAAACTCAAAAAATTGAGCAGAAATGAGACTCGGCTTATACACATTTGGCGAATTGTTTTTTGAGAGAAAATTCTCAGAGCAAAGAAAATTTATGACGAAAAGCAATGATCTCAGTGATATCATTGGCAAATTCCTTTGATATTGATTGAGATGGACATATAATTTAATGACACATTTTCGGATAGCTTAAAATTTTACCTTTATTCTCAAATGTCTCTCCAGAATTCTTTTACGTGTCCCTTCTACAGTACACACTCTTCAAGAGCTTACTATTAGGAAAGCTTACTTTTACTATTAGGTGGTTTAACAAATTTTTATCCGGTTTTTGACGTCATTGGCTTCTTTAGTCATTAAGTCATGACTCAAAGCACGTTGGGGTTTTCGAAAAGTCCAAGATTTTGGTATCTGATTGACTGACTTAATGACTCTAATCGGTAGCTCGATATGATTGTGCAAATAATCATATCAGATCTTTCTTGCTTTTTCCTCTTTACTTTCTTTCCTTTCTTTCTTATACCTTTCTTTCCTTTCCTTTCCAAATAATCATTGCCCGATCGGTACCCTCTCAGGCACTGCACACATGTAATGCCGAAAAAGCCGCAAAATTGTGTCGAAGTGGAGGAGTGAGTGGCGGCGTAAAGAGCCTAGGTGTGGCAATCCTCGACGGGCCCAGGGACTTGTACTCACGTTTACAGCACAGCGAAACCTAGATCCAACTCTCCCGAAAGATACGAAAGAAATACAAAAAATTGTCGAAAAATCAGCTTTTCTTGCCCATTAATGCATAAAAACATTCACTAAATCAAATTCTCCTTATTACAGGTACATTCATCCTGCAATTGTTTCATATTCATTAAAGAATTTTTGTGACTTATGGCCGGCTCTGGCCTGGGCTGATCTAGCCTAGTTTACAGCGCCTGGACCCCGGTTGGAACCTTCAGAAACCTTCTAAAGATTTCAGAAACCTTCTAAAGAGTTCAGAAAACTGCTACACATCCGGCCGGTCTGAACCTCTGGGAAATCCCCTCTAAAGCTTAGAAATAAGAATTCTCTGAGTTTCAGACCAAGGTAATTAGAGAAGTAATTAGAGAAGGAATGGGATATTTTGGTGGAATCAAAGACTGGCTGTTCAGATATTGAGGAATGAGTCAAATAAAAAGGCTGGACGGTCAAATTTTTCGCGCTCATCAAACTTTTGGAAAAGAATAATGGAATAGAAAAGAAATTACCCAAACTACAAATTCAATACATGTCGAAAAAATAGCGTTAAGTAAATCATGTCGATTGCACTTTCAGACAGAACTCATAATACAATCCTCCCACCATGGTAGTCCCAAGAAAAAACCTTGACACTTTCCATCCCCAAATAATTAAGCGTCGATTTGGATGATTGGGCGAAAGGATCTCTTTGTAACCGATTATCGAATCGATTCGCTCAGAAAACACGGCACTCGGATTGGGCGAATAGAAAGGGAATAATTGACGATACTCGTCGACTCTTTCTGAGTTCACTTCAAATAAAGTGAATGTGCTTTCGATTAATTCTTGAATTAGGTATTCGGAAATACTGTTACATTCGATGATAATATGAACATGTTCAAGTCGAGAGATATATTCGAGGATCATTCTTCTGAAAGTGATTGTTTCTGTGACCGAAAGTGGGGTTTTTCCTGAGCAAATAACCAAAAATACCTCATTTTGTGTCTCAGATTTCGTATTGGTTTTTGATCATTGATATTTTTTCACAAAAAGCAAGAAATGAGGTGACTAGGGGCGTCATCTGTTATCACTACGAAACCGATTAGTGCATTTTCAAAGATGACTTTTTCGGTTCAAATTAGGCTCCGTGTACTTCATCTTTCCTGATTCTCGACGAAAGGAAATGTCCGGATTTGTTCTGTTCTTCTGTTTATTGATTCATTCGATATTTGCCCCGTGTCCCGATGGAACTGTGGATGATTATCAGGAGATGTGCCTTGTCCCCCACAACAAAAGTGAGTTAGAATTGAGTTGCTTTGAGGCATTGTCTGGTTTTGCCGAGATGAAAAAGATTAAGAAAAATAAAGGTGCCCGTCAAAAGAAACAAACAAAAAGAGCACACTCCAAATTCTACATATACATTGGAAGAGCTAAATTTTCCTTCTGACATTTAGCTGGGTCAAAAAATATTACCTTCTCTAAACAGCACATTAATCTATATACGTAAATAGGATTGCTTTTGAAATTATCATTAGGCAATACTCTTGATTACGTTGGGATCTTCCAGATTCGTTATCTTTAGCTTTCACGTTCGCCCAGGCTCAACTCCTCTGCAATCAAACCCAGGGCACCGTTGTCCCCATTGACAACGTTTTCACGAATCGTTTGACTCAACGGCTGGCTGACCAAGGTTAACAAAGGGTTCGTGATTTTGGCAAGATCACTTGCAGATTTCCAAAACAACACTTTCATCGACGCATTTCGTGGACCAAATGGGAATTGGACATACACCAGTGGTCGACAGCTCATCTATCTCTCATGGGCAACTGGTGAATTTGCACTTTTTTCCCCATAAATTCCACTGTGTTTCTTTGTTTAAATTTCTCCCGTGCTAACGTACGGAGATTGGTTAGGGTGATTTTGGGGCACCCTGAAGTCTGATTAGAAACCAAACATCCTTATTTGACGATTAGAAGTGAAACAGCTTGCCAAAAAGCAGAGAAACAGACATACAAAGATCCAGGCTGAAAGAGCGTTGAAAGGTTTTATCGATATGTTGCCACCGTTAGTAGAAAGGCTGTGCTGTGACACAAGGTTTAAGTAATCGTAGTCTTTCCAAGAAACCTATTTCGAGGCGAGCCCAAAAACGGTCTCAATTGTGCCTACATGGATCACGTGTCGGGCAATTGGTATGCAACGGATTGCTCGACCACAATGCTGCCCGTTGTCTGCGGTGTCCCCGAGGATGGTAATTAATAGAATGCACAATTTGGCATCAATTTGTAAATTTTTCAGTTTTTATCCCAACCACCATTCCGACCACTGCATTTGTGCCGAGGAAATGCTTCTTCTGCTACCCGGGTGCCGATAATATCCTCTTCATTCTGGACGTCTCGATGAACAATAAATATGTGAGATTCAGCTTTGAAGTAACTATGGAATAGTCGAAAAAAGAGGACTATTTCCAGGGTAAATCGAATTTGAATTATTTCAACCAATTGCTGGTTTTGAGAGAGTGTTGACGCTCTTCTTTATAAATATTGTCAAACTCTTCCAAATGTTGGATTCGAATCATCCGATGTACAAACAAATGTAACTTCTTATTTTAGTGGAAACAGGTGGTCAAAGGACTCAGCGAGGTGGCCGGCAACTGGTCAGGCTTCGACCGAATCGCTGTCCTCGGCTATGGAGACCTGATTTTCGACGTCTGCAGATATCGCACTTTGATCACTGTGTTGGAATTCGAGAACGTTCTCGACGCGATGGGTCCGAGGGACAAACATCCTCCGAGCATCGCCACGTGAGTATTTCAACTATTAGAACTTTGATAGCATCTGGATTTTGTCATTTTTTACCCTTGAAATGCAAAAGAAACCTTTTTCAAAATATTTGACTTCAAAATCAAGACCTCGAACTCGAGAAGAAAAATTGAATGACGAGTTTTAGGGCCCTAATGGACGCTCAAACTTTTGTCCCCCCGAACATGTTGTACACGGGAAAACAGACGACAATTCTCATCTCGGCTGTCGGGTAAGCGTCATTGAAAAGTTTGAAAAATCGAACTTGAAATTCACAGCGATCCTGATGATATTCAAGAGGCCAAGCCCTACGCGAAAATTCTCCAAGATCAGGGTGCTTTGATTGTCGTTTCGTTGAATTACCAGGTGAACCCCTTGAGGCGAGAAACAATGCAATTCAAACAATAAAACTCCACTGAACTCCAGCTAATTGTCTCCCTTTTTTTCTACAAATAATCCTCTTGAGAGTTTTCATGTTTAGGTTGATGCCTTGTCGACGCTGACATCCCCGGGCTGGGCGATGAATTGGAATAATGTTTACGATTCGAGACCGTTGAGAGATTTTCTAGACAATCTCTTGAGCCAATAAAATATTTTACAGCTTCTTCTTTCTTCTCTTCTTTAGGTTCTGTTAAAATTTTCTTTTTGAAGCTATGGGGAAATTTCTTGTCCACCTTCGTTGAAAGGATAGGTAATCCTCATTTGTTAGAGCATTTTTGGAGGATCAATGTCCAAAAACCGCGTCTCGATAAAAGCACAGGGAGTTGGGTTTTTTTTACCACATACTGAAACTGCTAAGCAGAATCGAAATCATTTTATTTGTGGGCCTTTGAAATGTTTTTGCTTCACCAATTGCATTCCAAAAGCTCTCTTTTTTGAGCGCCCTTGAAACAAACCAACGGCGTTCACAAGAACAGTATGATTTCCCGTTTCTTTTTTGATTAAAACACTCCCAGAAGAAAGATGAACAGTTTATAGTCGCGAGTCTTCTCTGGAGATATCGGAGATATTTAATTACGAGGTTTCGTGGCATGTATCTAGCATGTATCTGATGTATCTAGCTTTGAATAAAAAAAAGGAAGACTAGAATCAGCTGAGTAGTTCTCGAGAAACCCAATCCGGAACTTGACTAGGCAGAGAAATGGCGGTTAATTATGCATCAACCCAAAAATCTAGATTCGACAATTTCAGCTATTACCCGGTGCAGTCACCTGAAAATATTGAAGAAACGGGGCATAGCATTGAAGGACCGCGGCTTGTTGACTGACTGGCTGCGGGATTTGTCACCTTTAGGCGTGATATCTGGGAATTTTAAGTTCTCTTTGGTTTTCTGTTCAAAAATTACTGCATTGTGTGTAAGAAAGGCATGTTTTTGATAGAGATTGCCGAAGAACGTTAATGACAGAAACAGAACGAAACTCCTCCTTCTCCACAAAATGTTACGACCAATGCGGGTTGGCTCATTTTCTTGAAAACCTATGATTAAACGGTTTCGCCTATTTTTTGTTACATTTTTGAAGTTCCAAATTGTCCGGCAAACCATATCAAAAGCTTTGTTAGCTATTTTTTGGATTCGTTTTAGCTGGACCAAAAATCCGTAAAAAATTTTTGTAGATTTTACGTGCTAGGTTCCAATAGGGTTCCAATATTTTCATCTCTACTCTCTGTTTACTCTTCTCCCTTGTTCCCCGCAAGGCTCTCTCTTTCCCTCTCTCTCGCTCTCCAAAAACTCCATTGCCATGACAATTAGCCACGTGGTGAGCCAAACTATTAAAACGGACAGGAAAATTTGTTTCATTTCTCTTTCCCATTTGCTAGCAATTTGTAGATTCTTGTTGGAGGCGATTTCTATCCAACATGAAAACACAAGCTTCTCGAAAGTTTTCACTGGACATTTTGCCACAAATTCTCCAACGTTCTGTGATTGATTGTGTCGAAATCGATGAGAGAAAGCAACTACTCAAAGTCTCCAAAGCCCTCCGCTCCCTTGTGCTCTACTATGGTGGGTTTCCCCGAAAAATCGACAAACTTTTTCTGAAAGTTCTCGAAGTGCAAGATGATGAATTACAACTGAATATCGAAGTCAACGAGCAAACTTTTGAATCCGAATTGAAAATTTGGACTCAAAACACTGAATCTGACGGCGAGGCCGAAGAAGAGAATTTGCCCCTCAGTCAATCTGAGAAAAACGACGATCCCTTGGAAAATCCCGTCAAATATCCAATTTGGAATCAAAAATTTGGGCAAAACATTGCCGCAGTTGAAGTGATGAACATCATTGTTCGAGCACCGGTCAGCGAGGAGAAGATTGCCGAATTTTTTCACTCATTTGGCGCCAAAATCCGCTTTGTTTCCGAGTATTCGGTGCTAGTCGACGATTTCCGGAAGCTCTCCGTTTTGATCAAGAATTTTCATCCCGAAATCACTGAAACATTCGATCTGAACTTTTTCGATCTGGAAACGTGGGAAACGGATGAGTGTGGACAGGGAGAAGCTTTTGAGTTATTATACGAAAAACAGCTGGCCAAATGTGTGCGAATTTGTGCATTCGGTGCACCGATTTCATTGTTGACGAAGCTACGAAAAAGCCATTTGACACTCGTGACACTTCGAGTGAAAGAAGAGGACCTCAGAGAGAACTCTCGTTTTCTCCTCGACATCGAGATTCCCAGTTATCAAGAAACGGCGGCGATACTCTTTCACGCAGAAAGTGTGACTTTAGTGAAATGGAAGGAGGAGCTAATGGAAAATTTTGTGCAAACGGGAAAGTTGGAAGTGATCGACGGAGAGCTGAAAGAACGGATTGCCGATGAAGTGGTGGTGCCATTTTTGAGACATATTGGCGAGCATGACCTGGTAGAGACTATGGGGGTGGAAGAAGAAGACGAAGAAGAAGAAGAAGGAAAAGATGGAGAAGAGGAAGGGAAAGAACAAACGAAGAAGGAAGAAGAAGACGGAGAATCTGAAGAAAAGAAGGAAAAATGGTATTTGTGTCGGCAATCACCACTCACTCCAGATGGAAAAGAAGTCATCTATGGTGTGTTCGAGTTCGAGAATTTCCTATATTTGCTGAAGGCACGCTTCGAGGAATCGCTCTCTTGAGATTGATGACCGTTCATCGAACTACTCAATCTTTTTGTTTTAAGTTTAGCTCGTAAATATGTATCAGATCTTTGGTCCGCTAAGTTATTCTCCTTCAATTGGAGGCATTTCTGCCAGCTCCACACACCCATTTGCTCTTCATTCCCGTCATTCTCTTCGGTATTTGAGTTCCATTGTCAGTGGTCTGTCGTTAGAATTCATTCCCATTCAGCTGGTGTGCAACAATCATTCTTTGCAAAATGAGCAAAATCTTCTTTAATTGGTCTATGCGGGAGCAAATGCTCAAGAGAATTCCACGGCGGCTGAATGCTGAAACTTCCAATGACAGATTTGCTATTCTATAAATGTTTCGACAAGGAACTCCACGTGCTTATCTGTTTCAAAGGTCTCAACTTCACACGTCGCCCAGTTCGTTCATAATTTCTCTTTGCTTCTCTTACTGATTTTTCTAGAAGATCAACCCAAAGCAGGGGGAAGGGGTCTCTCTTGACCAGAAGCCCCGAATCAAAAATAGTTAGTAAAAGTGGAATTTAATTTTTAAATTTAAATTTAATTTTAGGCTCTACCGCTACGACTTGCTTTTGGGTCGGCCTATATCCGACTACGGCAGCTCAACCTTCTCATATCAGACATGGACATTGATCGTGAAGCCATCCCAAAAATAGGCTGATATAAGAGACCCGTCATTTCATGATCTGTTATGAGCTCATTATAATAAAATGAAAAATTAAAACGCAAGTTTTATGTCTTCTAACAGTGCTTGCAAAGTCTCAAACACACATTTCTACAAAAACTCGCGCAAAACGCGCAAATTTATTAGCAATGACTGTAAACACGCACAACTTCTCTGTCTCGAATGGAGAGGCATGTGCCATTCGCTCAAGTTTTCCCTCATATGAATTTGATTGAAACGACAGAATTGAGTAAAGCTACACTCTCATTCATCTTTCAAAAATATCTCATGCAGTGAAACATTGCTGATAATTCTTTTGGAAGATTAAAATTTTCCAAGCCATTTGTGTTATACTGTTTCTCAAGCTAATTTGTTTGTTATAACCAATTTTTTGGGGAAAAATTTATCTCAGAAAATGTGCTGTGTCTTTTTATATATTTTACCTGAACCTTTGATCCAAGAATTGCATTTGATCAATATCATCCTGGCATCAAAAAAGGGGACGTTGATCAGAAGGAAAAACTTTGATAGTGAAACTTCCAAAGATTTGCACCAGAGTATTATGCCAGAAATTCTCAAAAAATTCTAGATTGCAAAAATTCTAGAAATTCTAGATTGCCAGAAATTCTCAAAAGACACTCTTATTACCGTAAACATCTGCCTTCAAACCACGTTCCTTTTCATTTCGTAATCGCCCCCAATTGCTCAGCAATGAGTAGTTGTTTTGTCTGCAAGTAAAGATATTGATAGACACTTCATATTTCATTTTATCATTTTTTAAAATCGTAACCGTTTGATATGTCTTACAGTCTCTCTAAAGTTCACTTGCAAGGTTTCAAATAGCTTATTTTCTTCAAAATCCAGCCTCCAAGTGCTTTCATCAATCTTTTATCATGTAAAATTCTAAACTGATATCTAAATGGATCAATTTCAAAAATAAGCTCGTTTATTTAAAACTCTATGAATGCACAAATCAATTTTTTAGCTTGTGCCACCTCAAATTTCATCCCGAAATGATTCTTTTTCACAATTTCAGTGATCTTCTCAAAAATGAACCGGAGAGTCAGAATGGATCGATATGGAGAAAGAAGTCGATATCGACAGGATGCACAGGCTGCAGTTGATCAAAGTGGGTTGAACTTAAGACAATAAGAAGTTTGCCGTAAACGAATTTTCCTTAAATTCCTGGACAATAAGCAATACATAACGGATAACGGATTCTAGATTTTGAACAAGCCTGTTAAGTCGAAGTCAGTCTAATAATAAGCCTATTCTTAAACAATCAAAGACTCGTGCTGCTCTTGGAATTGCTATATTTTAGAGTATCAGACAACTTACAACTTGAAATAAACTTCTGATTTTGATCTAGATTCAGGTCTTAATCCTCATTAGAAAAGTTAGTATTAAAACACATCATACAACTTATCCCAAAACTTCTCACTATTAGATCTCAGTAATAAATATAACATAAGAGTAAATTACTGAAAATAAGTAAATGGTTTAAGTCAAATAAACCTCAAATTACTAATAAAGCTTATGTAGATTTTCAGATGAAGTACGTCTATTTTCAGACGCGGAGCCACCAATTGATCGACCTGTCAAGGAAAACGTGACAGAGAGGCTCTTAAAGAAATTCCCCATCAACAGTCTTCCCCAGGAAATGAAAGTTGCTATTCTGAATGAAGTGACCACTTATGATACGGTGACGTTATTGGGAGTGAACAAAGAATTTCGACGCTATTTCTTCGGCACACCTTGGCGGATTTTCGGGAAACGCGCCTCAGCGCTTCAACTCTCCTTGACTTCATCGCTCATCCAGACAACTCCGAGTTCACTTTTAGTTCCAATTCACAGTCAAAAATTCGCTAAACAAGTTCATTTATGCAACTCACTGCAGGTGATCTGCAAAGAATGTCGCCGATTGGATCAGGGAATTGGAACCGACGCGTGTTGTCGTCGATGTCATATCCGTTCTCCGTTCCTTTCTCGATTGCAGAACATGGCTCGGTTTTTGGAACAACTCAAAACAGTGAACAAACTTGAAATCGTTCTACATTATAGCGTTTTCAAAGATCTTTTCTCCAATTTCAAAGCATCGATCACCAGTCAAATCTCACTCACTCTTCACGATATGGAAATGCCGAACTGGATTGATCCCGAGCCACTCATTGCCTTTGCTGAAACATATTTACAAGATTGCAAAGTGATTGAGTTGAAATGTTGGAATGAGGAACAATTTGCACTCTATCGGAGCGCTCTCACGAAAAGCAATCCCGAAGCTGTTTTCATAAATGTCCGTCACAATCATACTCTTCATCAAGTGATTGACTCGTTCGTTCATCGGGGTTTTCCAGGCAAAAATCGAGAAGCGGCTTTCTTCTTCAAGAATCTTGACCGCAGAGTTTCTTTGGATCAATACAATCCTGTGATTGAGCAAATTGTCGATGAGAATCAATTACTAGAAACTCGAGAAATTGCTGCTGAAAGCTACCAAAGATATGCTCAAGAGTACAGCATTCAGAGCTCATTTTGCTATCGCGAAACCATTAATCAAAAATGGGATCTGCTCTGGGTTCGGCCAATGATCAACAGTGACATCGCTTTGGTCAAATTCATCTCAAAAACAAAGCAATAAAGAGCTGTTTCTCGGTTGTATATTTATGTTTATATATTATAATCAAGTATCCTGAATAAATTTGTGAACAAAAGAAAGAAAATACGTTCATTTTCATCAAAACTGTTCAAATCAAATTTTTGGGACCAATTTTTTGACTTAAATTTGGCTGTATTTCCGTAGAGTCGGCCTCAATTCAACCCCCTCATTAAGCAAATCCCTTCAAACAGTCATTTGAACAACGAACGCGTGGAAGCATTCAAATCTATGTTCTCTCCATCAAATGATCATTGTAAACTGAAAAGCTAATAGTTTGTGTGTCCTGTTTTGCTATTCACGTCTGTTTTGCTTCGTAGAATAGATATCCACCAAATGAAGCACTCCACAGAAAAGAGAAAAACACAATCCAGTAGAGGGAATGATTCGAGCTTGGGTCACTTTTCCAGTCTAAATTTGGTTCCTGATAAGATTGGATTCTTCTTGGTTAAACGGCTTTCTAAAAGGCATTTATTTTAGAAAACTATCGTAACCTAGCTAATTTTCATTCAATTAGTCCAGGTTTTGGTGTCATTCGATGAAAAATCATAAGGCTCACTCAATGATACCAAAATTCCATTGATCTAAAGAAAATTGGCGATTTGAATATGGTAGTTTTATAAAAGTAGATGCCTTTTAGAATCCAGTTAGTATTACGGTCGTTGTTTCATGACGAGATTGTAGCGATACACTAGTAAAACAGAAAAACTCGATGTTCGATTTGAAATAAGACGCACAGCCTGTAGTATTTTTGAATCTTGCAAAGGTTGCGGAAAAAAGTTATCCAGGTATTCCTGAACAACTTTTTCAGTCCTGTATTCAATCTTCTCATCAAAGAAATATTAAAAAAATTTATTTTCTATGAAGGTAAGCATTCAAGCAAAGATCAAGGTGTAAAAATCCAGTTTTTTGCAGAAACAATAACCACGATTCAATGCAACTAGTGTTTACGGCACAAAAAAGATAAGCCAATGCTTTTGAATCGATTTGCTTTTTGGTGAGCCGATAAAGCACCTTTGCTTTGCTGACTTTTTGTTGAAACTTTTTTAACCGTTTGGTGATATGGCTGGATTTTTTTGCTTTGCTGAAATTTTTGAACCGTTGGGTTTAATTACTGATCTTCCGAATCAAATCAGTGAATCAATCACTGACTTGTCAGAGCGTCATTTTAGATTTTCTAGATCATGAGCGATGAATGGGGAGAATTCACTCAATTCATTTCGCATGGAAGCTACGGATTGGTCATGCGTTCTTCGAAAAATCCGTTCGCTAAAAAAGAATTTAGAAATGAATGTAAATTTGACAATTTTTAAGACATATCGTGGGCAAGTTCATCCAAAAACGTTTAATAACACGATCAGCATTTGAACGAGAAAAAAAGGCCCTTGAAAGTCTTCATAGGCCAGATTGTCAACATTGCAAGTTTTATCTTATTGTCCTTAGCTTTTTAATAATATCTAGGCGGCGAGATTGACATTAAAAAAGATTAACAGTAATTTCAGCAACAAATATTGTACAATGTTTTGGTTTTGATGAGACCGAGAGCTTTTTCGTGATTCGCATGGAGTTTTGTGAAAGGGAAACCCTGCGCAAAAGTTAAACTCAATTCCTAATAAATTTACGATATTTTCAGATATCGATAATCCTACAGTGATCTATTCGATGAAAACGATTCTTTGCTGGATTGAGCAACTTTTCTCGGCGCTTTGTTGGCTCAAAAAGTTTGGATTCATTCATCGCGATATCACACCGCAAAAGTGAATTTGAAAAAAATTTAATGAACAAAAGTCATTCAGTGTGCTTGTTAGAGACGATTTTCAACTCAAATTGAGTGACTTTGACTTTATTCGCTCATTTGGAACAGTCCGTCCAACTTCTTTTGCTGGTACAATTCGGTATATGAGTCCTGAAGCACCGGAGTGATGGGCTTACAAGGTTGGTGGTTTACTGTAAAGCCTCGTAACCCTCGGCCTCTGGAACTAGACAAGACTCGGTATATGGAGTTTGTTGGCCTAAATTTAAGACCGGATTCGGATCCTAGAGTCTTTTAAGCCTTCATGTGCAAATTTCTGGGATTTGGTTATTTATTTTGATCCCTGGTCCAAATCAGCCGCTTCGCAAAAGATGCACGGCCGTAAATGTGCTAAGGCATAGTACACGCATTAGTTCTGTAAAATGCAATCTCTTGTTCTGCTACGGTATGCCCAGGAGCTGTATGTAGCATTGAATACATTTGCATAATAAAGTTTCTTTCCATTCTGAAATTCTAGGTGAGCTCAGCAAGCGATGTTTACGCGGTTGGACTGATCATCTGGGAAATGATTGAGCGAAAGTAGGTCTTGAATGAAACCAAGCACATCTTCATATCCACAGGTTAGCTTATTGTGAATACGACGTTTTGGAACAAGGATATCATACCTTTTTCAACGATCTTTGCGACGGAAAATGCCTTTTGGAACCACCAAATTGCTCACAGGCAAAAATTCAAGAGCTCGTTCTCAAGCAAGTTTTTTTTGCCCTGATTTCAAGAAGAAAAAATTTCAGCTGTACCGCTTTTCATGATGAATTCCGTCCAGAAGTCGAACAGTCACTTCATTTTGTACGAGAACTCAGTGAGGTGAGTTTACCAAAAGTGATTCTCATTTAAACAATCAAATTACAGAGCTATTCAGCACAAAACTTTCAACCAATCATTGATCCAGAAGAAACTCGAAAAATACGTCCAATTGGATTTGCTTGCTTTGAGCATGTTGGAGAAAAGACTCTTGTTTAAGCACAGAAACTCTCCTTCCTCCGTTTTTCAACCGACGCTTGATGAACTTAAATTTGAAAAGAAATCATTTCCATTTTGCGCGTATCGCTTTAAATTGCATGACTTCTTAGCAAATGATGCTTGTTTTCAAGATAAGGAAAATAAAACCACCGAAAAGCAAATTCAAATCAACGACTACGAAACACTGCGAAAACTCTACGCGAAAACATTTAAGCTATTAGAAACGATCGGAAAGAATGATTATGCTGATGATCGAGAAGGGATTTATGAAGCATTAAAATTATGTCGGATAGATTTAAGAAAAGATTACAATTGCCCAAATTACTTTCTTTTCAATAACCTCCATGATAATCAAGAGATGCTCGTTTTTGAAACACCCAGCGTCTACAATGAATTAGTTTTGACAATGACGAGATCGATGGAAAGAATTAAGAGAAGACCTGTCCTGAATAGTCATGAAATTGACAGAAACCACGTTGATTTACCGATTGTTAGTGTTGAGGATTTGATTGAACTGATTGACTCAGAAATTGATGGAGTACCAGCAAGAAAAACTGGATTGGAGCATTTCTTTTCTCTCGGCTAGTTGCTTTGAAAATTCTAGCTAAAACAAGCTTTGCCTTAAAATTTCATGTGATTAATAAATCATTTCTATCCAAATCACACTTTCAAGCAAAAAAATCACAGTTCGAATAGCCACATTTTTCAACGTTCAAAACACTTTCTATTCAACTTTTAACTGTAGCAAAATTCCCACAAAATTCCGCATGAGGAGTCCGTTTTTTTCCTTTTTTACGAGTTAATCCGGCAAAATCAATGCTAGCTTTTCGAAAATTTTTCTCTTTTCAGCAATTCCTATTTCCATAAGCATTTCTTTGAAACTTTTGAGTAAATATCTGGCAATTACAATGAAAGCTTTCTTATTTACTTGTTCACTATCCAATTTCCAATAGTTTTCAAATGTTAACTTAACTTTGGCATCATTCAATGAGAAAACACAAGACGCAATCAATGGCACAAAATCGGATGTAAACTGACAGTTCGGTGGCAGCAGTTTTTTTCAAACAAATCCCCAATATTTTCATTCATTCCAACCTTCCACGTGCAATTGTTAAATAACATACGTCATCGCGCCAGAAATGTCTATAAGTCTTACCGTACAAACGCCGGAATACGACAGGTTGAACGTTTGTATGAAGTTGAATGCTCGCGCAGACGGGAAAAAGCTGAAGCCGTACGTTCTTCACCCCAGGAAACGAGTGTTACCGGAAATCAAGAAGAAATTTGGCAACAAACTTGGGCTTGCGTAAAAAGATGCGCGCTGGTTTAACGATGAAATCACATCCGACTACCTACAAAAGCTCTATGGAGAACTCAAATTCTTCAAAGGCAAAGAGCGATCTTTGATTTTTTGGGATTCATTTCGTGCATTCATCAGCGAAAGTACGAAAAAATCCTCAAGGAGCTCAATTTGGATTAAAATTTTGGTACTTTATATTTTTGCTTGATTGTTTTAATTTTTAATTTGTAATTTTGTTATGTTACTTACTGTTAAGTTTGATTTTTATGTTCACTGGTCGAAAATTAAATAAATCCAGAGATTGCTACTTCCGGCCAATGCTGAGAGTCGAGTCTTTTCTGCAACAACTGATTGAAATGAAGGTGCAACCACTGGTCTAGAGTTTAGCTCTGTTTCTATCAAATCCATTAAATTGACAGAAATCATGTTTATTTAGCGATTGTTAGTGTTGAGGATTTGATTGAGCTGATTGACTCAGAAATTGATGGAGTACCATAAAGAAAAACCGGAGTTGAGCATTTCTTTTCTTTCGGCTTGTTGCTATGGAAATTCTAGTAAAAACAAACTTTATCTTAAAGTTTCGTGTGATTAATAAATCATTTCTACATTTCAAATCACACTTTCAAGCAAAAAATCACAGTTCGAATAGCCACATTTTTCAACGTTCAAAACACTTTCTATTCAACTTTTAACTGTTGCAGAATCATTACAAAATTCCGCATGAAGAGTCCGTTTTTTTCCTTTTTTACGAGTTAATCCGGCAAAATCAATGCTAGCTTTTCGAAAATTTTTCTCTTTTCAGCAATTCCTATTTCCATAAGCATTTCTTTAAATCTTTTGAGTAAACATCTGGCAATTACAATGAAATCTGTTTTATTTACTTGTTCACTATTCAGTTTCCAATAGTTTTCAAATGTTTCAAAAATAAAACCAATGTTTTTGTTCATATTCTTTTCTAATCCGCTGTCTTTAACAAGCAATACTAAAAATTTGCATAGTTTCTTTGCTTTGATCTTGTTCTGATTGTTTCAGTGGGCTTTCAACTATTATTGGGCCATGAAAACCTTTTAAAAATTGTAATTTAAAGATTTGCACCTTTCTAATCTTTGAATTTAGTTCAAAGATGAGCCTAAATTTCGTGACGGCTCTCCTCCAGCAAAATTCAGCCAAAGAGACCTCATCAGCTTTCTCTCCATTGGCATTGGGTGCATCGTTGGCTTCGATCTATTCTGGATCCAATGGACCGACTCAACAAGAGTTCTACGACTTATTCCAATGTTTGTTTTTATTTGGAGGGATCAAATAGCTACTCTTAAATCATCTAATGAAATTCACTATTGAAAGAGCATTGAGTCTGGTTTCGTGAAACAAATCTGACTACATTAGCTGTTTATAAGGATATTAAAAAGCTCGTCTGAATCTATTTATAATGGTCATGTATCCAAAAAAAGTAACACAAGTACCAAAGCAAGTTGATCTTCTGAACGAAAAAACCAAAACGAAGCAAATTTAGTACGATCTCATCAAGAGGTCATCCGTCGTTTCAGTGCCTTCGTTTCCGAAACCCAAGCACCAAATGCAACAGTGAAAAGTAGCACACGCTTAAAGCCATAGCTAAAGAATTTTTTAGTTGCAATGATCAACAAAATTTTGGTGAAAAATGAATTGGAAATGAAGCCGGAATGGGAATCGCATGTGGGAAAGCTTTTTGGAGTTGAAGTAATCAAATGTGATTTCGAGAAGGAAAACGATGTGACTAAAGTGAGTTAACTGAATTAATTAGGATACAATATTACAATATTGATTTGATATTTTGATCTGGTCAATCTATCCTCCAACAATTTGTGTAACTGATGCTATTTCAGGTAATGAATCAAGAGTGTAGTCAGAAAACAAGTGGGATAATCAAGCACATCGTCGCTGCCGACAATTTCAGCACTCAAAAGAACATCAACGTTATGCTGATCAGCGGTGCCTGTTTCAAGGTTTGTTGCATCGGTTTAGTACATGAAAAACTGATTTTTGGACCTCTATTTTGAAAAGTTATGAATAGTCGTACTTTAACAAATTGGTTTTCAGGGACTTTGGCCAAGACCCTTCCGACCTCCAGTCAATCGTCCATTCTTTGGGAAATCCAATCAGCGAAGCGTTGGTCTCACAACAAGTTTTTATGACAGTAATAAGAATATAGGAACCATTTCTCGTAAAGAAAGTCAATGTCCTGATGAACTTTGAGGATTCCTCCGTGGATGTGGCTGGGATCTCGTACAGGGATTCGACGTACAAGTTGTGGATTTTCTTACCAAAAAAGGTAAACATTGAGTTGGCTCAAAGTTGTTCAATCAAATTCCAATTTTACGAAGCTTGAAGATATCCATCCAAGGCGGAGATTTAAGTAAGTCAAGACATTGTAAGTTTTCAGGGTATTTCTTTGAGATCCTGGATTGATTCGATAGATGGCGAGTCTTTAAATGATCTGATGATTGGAGCACTTCGAGAAAAATGTTGTGTAAGAAGAAAGTCAATCAATCTTTGAATCGATTTTTACAGCTGGAAATCCCTGTGTTCAAGATTGAAAGCTACATCCGAACAAAGAGAAATCTTCAAAAACTTGGCCTCAATCAAGTGTTCACTGGCAATGCCGATCTATCAGGCATCTCGACTTCTCCCACATTCATCAGTGATGCAACTCATAAGACAGTTTTCGAGGTGAGCTTAGAAATTTTCTTGGTGTAAAGTTGAACTTGATTTAGGCAAAGTGAACTTACGGCCGTACCACTTAAAAAGTTGGCTTTCGAGTTAGTACAGGAGCTTGTAATAACTTTCGATATACTTGGGAACTTGCAGATGTAACCATAGAACTTCTAATGAGTGGGATAAAGAAGAAATCCGCTCCACCCCTTTATCATACTAGTTTCAGGTGAATGAGGCTGGTGAGAAGCAACCTACAGAGTCAGGATCCGCAAATGAGTTTATACGAACAGCTGTCGACAAGAAGTTCATCGCGAATCGACCATTCATGTACCTCGTCACTCACAACAAAACCGATTATCCTTTCTGTGGTTTTTACTATTGAATGTCATTGGTTTCAATCTGCTAGATTGAAAAATGATATTTTAAAGTTTTACCTAAAGGTTTGCTTGCTCTTTTTGAAAGCCAGACTTAATCCTTTCACTATAGCTGTCCAACTTGTACATACAACATCCTATGGCTGCCCAACTTGTACCTATGCCCAACTCCTGAAAGCTCAACTTCATAGAAATTAGAATATTCTGAGCTTCTCAGCCTAGTCAAATCTAGGTAACATAAAAAATGCCCGGAAATTCAAAATCCTTCATTGTCTCCTTAATTTTCTGTGATGTACAAATTGTATAGTTTATTGAGCCATCAAATTTTGAGTGTTGTGCGTTTTTTATGAAACTCAATTATTTCCTAAATCAACCGTTTATCTAAAGAAGACCATAAAAAGCCTCAAAATCTCTGAACACTTTCATCACACAACAAAATTCAAAATGTTGTCGTGAGACCGGAGAACCCTTAATCAAATCATGGAAAAGGAATCAAGCTAAGACAAATCTCATTTCCTTAGTCAACTTCAGCTCAATAGAACAAAAAGGAAACAAATTCAGCAGAGCAACATCTGGTTCTTAATTTTGGCATTAGCTTCATTGCTTCACGTTAGTTGAGAACCTCTATAGGAGTCCGATCCAGAACTGCCCGAAACTGGACAAAAAGCCTGAGGCCAGGGCCAGTTCAGGTTATTTATCTAGTGCCTTCTTATCTGAAAGTATGCATCCAAATAAAAACTATCAACTTCAAAGATGGATACTGAGTAATTCTACACCCGAAAAACGTAATAAAACCTGGAAAAAATCGCTTTAGATTGGATCTGGGCTGGGTTGGCCTGGTCCGAAAATTTTGGTTTTTGCGGTAGCCCTGGCCCAATCTTTGCCAGAAGCTTAAAAAGTCCAAGTGAAAATTCGAAGCCTGCTTCTGCAGGGTAGGCTTAACTGGGCTTAGGCTCAAATCGTGAAATTAACGGGTTTAGCTGATTTGGTGGCAAATTCCCTTCAAATATAAAGATATTCCATTTGCTCGACGTGTAAAGAGGATTACTCGTAGTTACTCGACCAAAAACGCCGATTAATCGAGTAAAAATTATTCGTGCAAATTTTACTCGAGTAATTACTTACTCGGAAGGAACACACTTTACTTTTCACCATGCCTACTCAGTTTTGGTGGACATTTTAGCACATGCCAATATTCCTATTGGGTTGGGGACTATGACTCGGCGCCAAAAATCAAAAAAACTTCTAAAACTTCTAGCAGACTTTGTCAAATAATACGCGCTTAATATCAGTAGAAAAGTTAACTGATTCTTTACAAAATGACATTTAAAAGAAAACTCAAACAGCGCCTCAGCTCAAGAAAAGGCCATTTTTTCACAAAAACTACAAAGTGTCATCTAGAAAAAACGGTTGAAGGGATCTTCCTGCAAATTTGGCAACTTATGTAATTGAATGTGCTCTATCTTTTTTACACAGACACCAAAGAAGGTTTATGTGCAAGAAACTGTTCAAACGATGAGTCGGACTCTTTGCCATTTTGATCAGCTGTGTTTGGAAGTTCATAAACTCCACGAAAGAAAAGCTTTGTGGAATCTCTCAAAAGTCATTTTGTAGAGAAATAGTGGATCCTTTTGATGAAAGAAAACGTATATTTAAAGAAGGCTTTATGCGTGCAAAAAGTGTCTTTAAAGTTTGGCGCCGAGTCATAGTCCCCAACCCAATAGTTTAGGAATTGGGAATTCACGGTTTGGGAATGGAAATGACGGTTGCAAGAAAAACCGCCCGATGCAAAATCCTGAGTCGGTTTTGGTTCACATCAATCCGTTTTGCTAATTTTGCCGTTTAATAAAGAGTATTCATAGGTACTCGCACTGGAAGTGCCCAAAACTTATCCACCAGGGTCCTCAGAAAAAATGAAAATTTAGCTTGAGATCAACGGATCGGAGGGTTTGAGTGACTAAAACTGAAACACACGGAAAATTCCTTTTAAAAACGGCTGTTAAATTTGGCTCGAGCATGGTTGAAAACCCTCAGAAACATTCTTAGAACTTGAAATTTCAATCAAAAATTTTGAAAATCAAGGGATAAGGCTTTGGAACTTTGGAACCTATAGACTCATTTTTTCTAGATGAAATTTCCTAATTTTTCTCTCTAAGCTGCACTACTTTACAATTCTGAGAATTGTAAAGTAAATTCCATTCTCAGGCCGCCCCTTTTCCACCACTGGTTGTCAAGTATGAACTTTTCACGAAGAAGATTCTCCAAGCAAATTGCCACTAACCACTAACCTCCCATTATCGGCTATAGCACGATTGAAAATAGTGTAGTTACCTAGGCAATTGAAAATTGCAGTTGGAAAATTCTAAATTTCTAGCTGATTCCGGCAGTTCAGATTCTTGATAATAGCAATCAGCATCGGTCACATTACTACAAATACTACAAAAAAATTAGATTGATCTGAAGGGAATCACCAATCCAGCAGACGATCAAGCGTGGTTGGGAGACAAAACTCTGACAGTGGAGAGCAGGGACGGAAACGTAAAATTATTTTACGTAAAATGTTTTACGATTATCCAGGAAATGCGATTTTTGTAAAAAATTGTTTTGAGCCCAAAATTTGTTCTTAAACTCGTCTTTTCTCTAAACTTAACGGGGACACTCTAGAGTACCTCTGCATACTTTTTGCAAAGTTCCAGACAAATCTATCAAGTCTCGCAATTTCTAGACCCCGGTAAGTTCGGCGGAAAAACCTGCCCTCCGGATAACCGTAATGGTCCCTGAAGAATATTAGTCCGGCGACGTGGCCAGAAAAAACCTAGCAAATTCTACGTTTTTTTTAACGATATTTTACACTTTTTACGTAAAACTGGGGCGTAAAGTTTATGGTGTAAAATTTTACACGACCTATTTTACGTTTTCCTTCCCTGGTGGAGGGGTAGAATGGGCAGAATAATAGAGTAAAAGTCCATTTTAACAAAAACTTATAAATGGAGTTTTGCTAATCATTTAAAGTTTGATCAACCCACCAAAAGATGTAAGCACAGTCTTTACAGAGCGAAAATTGAGGCCGTTGAACTGCTAAAGGTAACCTGTAGTCAAAGAAGATTCTCAAAGCAAATTGCAGATTGGATAATTGGGGTTTCTCCTGGGGCTTGTGACTTCACTGACCTCCCATTAGCGGTTATTAGCCGGAGAAAGTATGTAGTCAACCACTTCCATTTTCCAGTTGCGAGAAAATTCGAAATTTCTAATTTCGAAGTGATCTTTCTTGAGATGTTACTAACAACGTCAACCACTAGTACTACAAATGCCACATTAAACAAGAGAATTGCGATTGCCGCTGTCTTCTTCTTTGTGATGAATGGTGAGATTTATTACTGGAAAATCAACCGGTTATAAGAAAATGATAAAGTATTAGACTGGCCGAGAAGTCTTGGTAACACTTTTTTCTTTCGAAATAATTGTTTATGCGTTCGACTTTCCCGGCTCTGTTTACATCCAAAAAATCGGCTTACCAGTCCCCTTTTAAAACATTTCATACGCAGACTCCAATGCTTCTTCCATTTTTTTATTCAAAGGCTACCCCAGATCTTCCACCAGGACATCTGAGACACGTTCTGTTTTACAAGTTCAAAAAGGATCTTCTTTGTGGGTGAGCCAGAATAATATTGAAAACGTGTATGGCAATGACGCTGACAATGATCACAATGATGTATTACTCGGATCTTCTTGAAAATAAGCAGACTGTTAATGCTTTATTATACAGCAATCAGCTACAAAAGCTCGAAGAAGAAATCAAGAAAAAACGACCTGAATTGAAAAAGGTCATCCTTCACGATAATGTCCGCCCAAATGCGGCAAAACTACTCGAGCCACAATCCACAGCCTGGGCTGGGAAGTCTTACCTCACCCTCCTTATACTCCAGACTTGCCCCATCGGATTATCATATTTTCCGATCAACATTCCCTGGATGGAGAGCATTTTCAAAACGAAGACGACCTCAAAAAGTGGTTCCAAAACGATTTCGAGTAAACTGCTTGTTTGGTTGTGAATAAATTTTTAAACAAAATATTACCAAGACTTCTGGGCCAACCTAATATTTAATTCATTATATTTGAAATCGCACATCAGTCAAATGAAAGATTGCAGGAATATTGATAGCAATTTACTTGCTATTGCCCAATTTTGAGCAAGTGACGCTCGTCATCAACCAATCGACGCGTTCATCATCTGACGCTCGTCGGATCATCCGAATGGTACACATCTCGGTGAGAAAATTAATATTTAGTTGTGCGCAATGCCTGTTTTTCAAAGTTGTTTTACAGAGAAAATCATTTACAGTTTGCTTGTCTCTCCTTTGTGTCAAATCTCGCGGGCGCACGATTTTGTTGGAAAAGTCGTGTCCTCTCGAAAACAACTTTTTATTTATTGTTTACCGGCTCGATAACTCGATGTCTCTACTCGATGAGCTCTTTCAATTTCTACTATTGCTACTTTGCCGATTTGTGAGTAATGCAAAAAAAAATCGAGATCGGGCTCATTTTCGCAGATATTCTTTTCTTCTCAAATGCCCCGAACAGCTATTTTTGGCGCGTACTTTATGGGGTCAAATGTTTTTTGCCCCAATTGTGTACGTTTCGGGTTATCTGCAGATTGGTTGGCATCGAATCGTTTTATTCGGACCATTTTGTCAATTCAGCCCTCTCACTGAATCGTTTACTAGCCCTCTCCTTTGACGGTCTCCCAGTACAAAAATCTCAAGAGTATCCCTGGCTACAGGTGGTCGTGGCCTGCGTTTTGGGCTATATCACAAGATTGTTGCTTTTGCCTTGTAAGAATCGTTTTTCGATTGGATTCCACATGTATTCGTTTAGTTGGTATTCATGTCGCGATGGTCTCTTCGACGATCACTCTCGATTTCATGTTGATTCACAAGCTGATGGTAAGAGAGAAATGCTTTTTGTATGTAATAGTATAAGGGAAAATAAGGAATAGAAAATATATAAAAAAAATTACATAAACACTAAAGGATTCTGCTTACGAGGGAAGGGCAATAAATCAGAGTGGCCATTCTAAATAAGACCTAACCTATCCGGTGTAGTTTTCGACGCTGATGCCGAATCCGATCACTATATTTTGATGTAAAGGTAATAGGCGTTAAATGTAAATCCCAAGACTTGCATTTCAAATATCTGGCGTTATAGACCTCCATTGGAAAAACTAGAGCCGGATTCGGAATTAACGTGAAAAACTGCATCGGATAGGCTCGGTCTCATTTGAAAAGGCCACTGTGATTTATTGCCCTTCCTCTGTCAGACTTGGAGTTCCCTTGCGGTTCTCAGATTTTTGGTCCTAATTCAGTACATTGATGAAAAAGTTCTCAGATCATCAATTTTAGAGGTTGAAAAAACAAGTGAAGGTGACTAGTGAACGATTTCTATTAGCACAGGTTTGTTTATATTCGAGTTTTCTTTGGGAATCTAGTGGAAAGTGTGTATATTTTACGTCCGTTTAAGAATGCATTCAAATCGGAGGTCCAATTAAGAATTCATCGAATGAATTGTGTAAAAAGGTGAAATGCTCAATGCTGATTGAATATCTAATGAATGTTAATTTTGATAGTTAAAGCAAGGGATAATTTAACCTAATTACAAATTGATTCACGGAAAACCTCGACATTCGCGGTCACAGGAGAGTAGTGTAGAGTGGAGAACGCGCAAACGCTGATATTGAGGTATCTTTAGATTTTTTAACTGGTTGCAATAAGTTTGTACTGTTTCCTTAATTTTAAGATCTTTTCAGTATATCTTTAACACCTATCAAATCATTACTGGGGAAAAATCACTACTGGGAAAAAATCACTACTGCGTGGGCCGTTCACTTGCTGATGATCCAATATAAAACTAATAAAGAAAGCACTAGTACATGCCTGAAAAAAGGATTAGATTAGCATCATTTTGCATTGAGCATTTCACATTTTTACACAATTGATTCAATAAATCCTTAATCGGCCGGTTACGGAACAAAATTCTTAACCGGACGTAAGATATATATGGCTGTTGAATTCCTAGATCATAGCCAACAATGTGCCGTTCACTGTTGTTTATCTGATTGATCCATTTATTCATTTCGTCTTTCTCGACCGGATTCCGTGGGTGTCCGACTTGGCCTATTATATCGGGGCAATCCTCGTTTATACGGCTGGTCCTTTTTTCCAGGGGTGAGATTGTTTCAGCCAATTTGTCTAATAGACATGTTTACGGTAGAGTTTTTTTATTAGGTTAGAACCATTGACGATTAACGCCAATTAACAATTCGCACTTTACAAAAGATTTTCACAACTGGAGAATTAATAGAGCAGTGACAATCTACATGTTGCGGAAGGTCGACAGAAAGACCATCAAGGTCAGCAATCGAGGTTGACGAGGGCTTGAGGAAAACATTCAGTCATGGTAACTTTATTGGAAAAGATTGGGAAATTTTGGTGTCGGTCACTTTCTCTACCAAGAAAGTCCATCGGGTTCTCAAGGGAGATCACCTCACCATATTTCGACAGATTCAGGCGCTTTCAACACTTTTAAGCCAGATCATGATTGTTTTTCAAGGCAAACTCTGAAATTTTTGATTCCAAATTTGTGCTGAAACGATTTTTGTACATTGATTTACTGCTGATTTTTTCTGTATTTACTTTGTATATTGATTTACCGTCACCACTATTTCAGTGTTGCATCCACTACCGTAATTCATGTTAATGAGAACAATAAAGTCATTATTTCATTCGACTCACGAAATGATTTCAATGTTAAGCCCTAGGTCAATCCAAAAAAACCTATTTACCGTATTCTCTCTAATAGTAATGCACCATGAGGGTAGCCTAAATTGCTCGAAATCTGATAAACGAGAACCGTTTATCAGAACCTATCGATGTGGGGTCGGAAAATGTAGCTGACGATGAGATCTTGTGGGGGATTAGAGTGTTGAGTTTCTGCGAAAACCTAGAAACCGTAAAATAGTCATCAACTGTCAATCAGGTCAATCAACATCAACAAAGGATCCCGTCTTCTAACGCAGCCGGAGTCCGCTGGAGAGGGAGGAACATGGGCGGGGATGCGCATAACTCAAAAACTGGCATAAGTTAGCTTTCACTCACCAAATTTACAGATTCCGCTTTACTCGCTTCCATCTATGATAGCTCATGAGATGAATGACTTTCTTTGATTTCATGCAATCTATGGACCTGTTTTCCTAGTTATGGATAAGCTTGTATTTGAAAATCAATTTCACTTCTCAGCTTTCGTCTTCTGCACCAGGAAAAAGAGCATTAGAACCTTTTAAAACTGTGAACTTTGAAGTGAAATATTTTCATTTTTCAAGAACAAAACAAAAACTCGACTTCAAATTGGGAATTTTTTGTACAGTTTGCCAAAGTTGAATTTTGAATTCATTATCCTTACGCATATTGGGTTTCCATGCAACCTTGACTTTACTTCTTCATTTTCGTGCTTAATTCTCACCCAAACTTTCTATAGTTTTTGCATCCCCAATTGACAGAAAGTATTTCTTTTTCAGTCTTAAAGTATCATTAGGGCTCTTTGAAAGGAACTCTAGATTTGTTTCTTTTTGTCTTTTGCTTTTTTTTAGCAAATCTAGGGTCTATTCCCAACATTTTCTTGGGTCATTTATCTCCTTGCCAATGTGGTTCTCTTTCATTGTCCAAATTTCCTGCTCTACTGCACATCAGCCTACCAATAAGAAGCACACAACTTTAGGGGAACTCACAAATGTAATCAAAAATAGACAATTAGGTATTTTATTGTCACATTGATAATAGTAAAGAGCAAAGTTCTTCTCGAGATTCTGTGGATTAATCTTGCCGCTTTCGAAGGAAAATCGCACTAATCAAACTGAATTGAAAGTTTGTTCAGTATGAAATGAAAATGAAGACCTGGCTACCAAATCAAACAGGAGAAACTGATTGAATTGATTGACAATAAACCATAGATAGACGACGTTGAATCCAAAGAAGAGTTGGCAGATAGCCAGAATCGTTCCTAGTACGATATCGTTCCACAACACGAGAAACGAGTTGGCGAGCATCTAAAAGGAAAAATTCGTTGGCTATTTTTTTTTTGTCGTTTCAATGAATTTTTCAAATAAAACGTTATTATATTATCGTATAATTTTAAATTTATTACAGAAAACTGAACGAGCACTGTCTTTACCCACAGACCTGCATCATTAGGAGCTCCTCGGTTCGGCTTGCTTTGCCGTCTTGTCGAAGCTGAAAATTGCAATAGCTGAGAAAACCTACGGCTAGAATTGTACTAGGCTAAAGAGCCCTGTTTGATGTTGGTAAATTTCGTCGTGATTGCGGCAATCCGTTCTTTCCGATTACGCAAACCTTTTTCAGTTTTCCTTTAGTCACGAAGTCGAGAGCACACATCAAGAAGAGTGGCATCTCGAACTCATAAAAGTACAAAGTGGAATTGTAAAGGTGAATGGAGCGGAGAAAATCCACAAACACTTGGATTATCACTCGCAGACCGTATGGCAACAATAACTGAAGAAGGGGCCACTTTTTGTGTGCCGAAAATAGAGGCCATCAAAGGAGAGCGCAAGGAAACGTCTGAAAGTCCAGGGTGGTCCAAAACTATAGCAACTCGACATTTTCTGTCTAACCCAGTCATCCGTTCTCTTTTGGATGTTTTTAAATTGAAACGAACATGATTCCCTACGAAAGAAACGTTGGTTTTGGCTGGAAACGTTTTTGTTAATTTTATACGATGCTTGAAAGTTGATTATCACTCACTAACCGCCCAGCGACTCTGCCATTTTTGTTAGGTTTCCAGTTTCGTGCCATTACAGGTTTCCTTTTTGAGATGAACAAAGACATTTCCATTCATATAATTTATTTCCAATGTAAATTAAATAAACCCGGACCACTTATCATGTTTGAATCCAATTTTAAGACTATGTCAAAACGCTCTTTTTCAACTGAGTTCGCATCAGTCATATTGTTTTTTGCAATACACTTTTTCACACTTTTTCCAAAATTTTGACAAACTTTTACAAAAGAAAAAATGTAAAACTGTTCAAAGAGTTTAAAAAGATAGAAAGAAATTAGCCTTGCCGAAATTTTGCAAAAAAAACGATAAGTTCTTGTCACCATCACGGCGACTCAGGTTTGAGCTTCCATAAAATGATAACAAAAACTTTTTCAGCCAAGACCAAAGTTTCTGTTGTTGAAGATAGTGTCAGCTTAATGTTTAAAGCATCCTAAGAGAGACAAACGGCGGACTGTCGAGTTACATCAAGAAAGACCGAGTTACTATAATTTTGGACCACCCTGCAGAAAAGACGGAAGATTATGAGCTTTTTAAATTGTTAACTTCCCTAGAAAGAAACTCGTACCCCAACGAGATGATCAGCTGACAGTACTGCGAAATGGCGACAGGATCGTATTTAGCAATGTGCACGACGATAAAACTCAGCACTGGCTGTATTATTGATTCAGTAGTGCATCTAATGTGAAATGTGAAAAGGCGATATCTGTTTTGCATACTCAAATAGTCTAAGATTACAAGCACTTAGCATCAGCATGCAAATCGAGTAAACGAAACGATTCACACTTTCAGCGGTTGCGAGCAGTCTGGAAAAGGACATTTCAGTCTTTAATGGCAACTAATAGAGCCGGTTCGGCCAAGAAGAAAACAAAGTAGTTTTAGGCCCGGTTTTTTTTTGTTTGCGTTTGCTCAACTCCTCTTTTATTTTCTCAGGATCGTAATACCAGAGTAGGTGCAATTATGGAGCCTGAATTGTTCTGTAAAAAACAATTTATAAAGTTAAGAAAACCATTAACTCTAAGAGAAGTTGTGAAGCCTCAAAGCTCAACTATACAATCTAAAAACCTCCATTTTTTCCAAAATTTTGGATTCTACTCAAGAACCGCGTTTTAGAGATTATAAGTAAGCTAGAAGAAACGTCTCAAACCGAATCGGCATCATCAACCCGTCGTTAGTGGCGGAAAAGTAGGCAGAGAATGGATTCGAGATGAGACTAAGCAAATGCACCTGAAAGTAGACGCACAAGTCGATGTTAGGCCTTAGCTTCACAGAATTGAAGCAATATTTGCGGAACTAAAGTTTTACTGTCTGATTATTACTTCTGTTAAACACTGATGCAATAAGTTTTATGATGAACACGTGAATGCAGAATTGCAGCACACGAATTTTCAAATGTTAAAAAAAACTTGTGTCATAACTTTGCTCAACTTTTGCCTCATTGCCAAGCTGCTTTTATTTAGGTCCCTGAATATCGCTCAATAGTTACCAAAGTGTTCATCCAAGCGAACATAACAGTGAGCGTGTCCCTCAACACGTCATCGATGTCCGGCTTTTCGTCGAAGAGTGTCCAGTCTTGAGCCACAAGCTGATCCACGATGATCAGAGTACCTACAAAAACGTGAAAGAACTGAAAAATATTAGAGACAATCATGTTCTCGTTTCATATTTCCCAGCTCACTTTCAAAGACCGTTTTCCGTTTCAGATTTTCCAATGATCTAACCTTTCCCTATCCATTAACACCTTCAACCCCATAAGCCTCCTATCGACTGTGCTTAAGAAGTTCTAACGGAAATCTCCAGAAGCGCTCAATTAATTTAAGAAAAAAGAAGAAATTTTAGCAAGATCTTCAGGCTGCATCATCATACAATGAATTTTTTTCAAAAATGAAACTCGCTGGGGAAAATTTGCATTTTTGTGAGAAAATTTAGGGAGGGGGCAGAGATCTAGGACATCGGACAAAGGAAAGGTGGGCTAAAAAATTCGATTTAGAGCTTGTGGAGCGAGCTAGAAGTGCCCAAAGTTGGGCAGAGGCGCAAAAAAGTTGTGACAACCTACTTTGAGCCCCTTTAGCTCGCTCCACAAGCTTTAAATCGGATTTTTAGCTTACGCTCCCTGTGTAAACCGACACGGAGAATCGAGTGGCGGTGGTTAGAAGTTTCCTGGATAACGGCTAATGGTTTAAAACCTCTGACCCGCCTAAATTTTCTCACCAAAATGCAAATTTTTCCGAGTGAATTTCGTTTTAGAAAAATTTCATTGTAGCCATGCTATGGCCTGAGGATTTTGCTAAATTTTCTGCCTGGGGTGTAAATTGATTGGACGCTTCTGAACAAAGCTCTAGCGATTTCTCCGAAAAACACCGAAATCCGCACCTGACTGTTGGTGAATTATGAGTTTACATTTAGCATCGAATCGTAAATGTAACTGTTCGTTTTCGATTTTTTCCGAGTGTAGTTCTAGCCGAAAGCCGAAACTCACTAAGCAATCCGAGCCAAATGAGCAAAATGTTGAGCAGACCGTTGACTCGAAACCAATCCCAGAACTCGCTCGCGCGTTGGCGAAATGTCGTTTTCAAGGAAAACGCAGCGGAATAATTTGGGAAAATCATTGGCGAATGGAGAAATTACAAAAATGGGATCTTTGTAATTGTTAAGTACACAATTTTTCGGAGGGCAACGGTTATCCGTTTGATTTACATACAAATACATAAAAAGAGCCAGGTGGCGTAGAGTTTATGGCTATTTTTATGCCCGTTCGCGGTGAGTACAAGTCATGGGCAGACTTTCTAACCGTTCTTACCGAGGAGCGAAAGTTTGATCAATCATTTTGCGGTCTCTCGATCAAAATTGTGCAGCAAATCGTTTGAAATATTTTGTATAAGATGTGACTTGTTTTTCAAGTACAAGATACAATTTCAAAATGCAAATTTGATCACAGAGAGTCTGTTTGACCTTAGGCGTAATTTCTAGTAAAAGATAAAAAGATTTCTGGTTTCTGGTTTGGTGGTGTCTGGATAAAAAGAAAAAGATAATTTTAGTGCTCTCGATCAATCGCTTTATGGCCGTCTCTTTCAATGAAGTCTATTTTAAGAAAAGAAGTCGCTTCGTGTGGCTTCAAGCCGGATTCGCGGTGATCGGTGGCTTTGCTGCTAATTATTTTGGGACCTGGATTCGAGGTAGCTATTTTACTAGTGGATTAAAAAAAAGTCACTGTAAATTTGCTTTTTTTCTCATAGAATCATATGCCATTTTTGGTCTGGACAAAAAGGCATAACTTTGTTCCAACCAAATGGTTGTGATTGATCTTTTTTGAGATCTTGTTAGACTCTTTTTGGGCAACATTTTCAAATCATCCAGTTTTAGATGCAACATCGAGCACTTTAATAAGAATAAGAATTCTTTTAGGAGATCAAGATCTTTTGTATATCTCGTTGGCTCCTTCACTTGATCTTTTACAAAGTGCCCGTAAGTTTGGCGGTTGAAAGTTCAAACAAGGTTTTAGTTTTGCTTCTTGTGTCCATTGAGAAATTTCAAAACTTTATAGTTGTAAAGTGGAGTCATTTTAGATGCGCAAATCGAAACAGCTCAGAAACAAGGAGCGAATTCTGATCATACAGGCAACTCGTGACATCTCTTTTATTTATCATAGTCATTTTTGCAGATGCTTGGCACAAATATCCCTCTTTTATTTACATATTTTATTGCCCATTCCTTATGTCCTATTCTCTGTTTAGATTATCAATCGTCGCGAGTTAGCCGAAGCTGTTTATCATTTGGCTCTAATCTCGCTTTTCTCCGGTGGTGAATGTTGGGATGGGTTAGTGGTTTCACATTGGTCTTGGTCTTGTATACCAGACGAGTACAAAAAACACTATCTAATATCATTTCGACATGCCAGTTAGCCGCGCGCCGCGCAATGACCGAGTGGTTAGCGCACTCGCACCAAGTGCGAGAGGTCAACGGTTAGAATCCGCCGGTTCTCCGGTGCTTTTTTTACTTACCAAAAGCTCAAATATAATAGAAACAATTTTTTTAAGCAAAAAGAAGCGCCCTCAACTTTGCGCCGGACTCGACTATGCGCCGTCCCCTAACCACGAACGGGAAAACACGCCGTAGACGGGTTTCCCGCTCGTGTACTTTAGAAGCATTCTCTGAAAATGTATTTTCGATTAGATTTCCAAAGTAAAATGCCATTCACTAACCAAAAACTCTTCACTACAGAAGTATAGTGACAAAAAACGCTTTGTGTCGCAAAGATTTACCTAGAAACGACTCTAGTTCCCAATTTTAGGCTTGTGAAAATTTATTTGTTGAAACGAGCTGAGAAGATCAGCCCGAGGAAAAAGAAAATAAACGAGAAAGTCTTCCACATAATTGCCATTTCGACAAAGCAACACTGAACGTTTTCGACTTCAAGTGAGCATTTGGTGGTCAATATGCTAATTTGAACTAAATAAATAATTTGCTTTGCAAGAAAAACACTTTTATAATGTGACTGTTCTGATAGTGAGTAGCTGGATTCAAAAGTTTTCAAAACAATAAACATTTACTGCAGCTGTAGTTCAACTGTTACGCATGGAATTTGTCAACGAGATCGATTCTTCCACTATGAGAGTAAAGCCAACTTGCATCAATCTCCTTTAAAACACTGAGAACGGAGTCGACTACTGGCTAATTCGTGGGGACCAACATGGGGCAAATTTGGAGTCAGAGTGAGCATTCGACAAAACTCGAAGCTCTCATTTCAATCGATAACAGATCAAGCGAGGCGCCAATATTGCCACCATCGAGAGTCGAAAAATCTACACACCTATCCCGACAACAGCCGCCAATAAGTGTACCACATCGTTATTCATGATCATCAAAATTCAAGATCAACAAAAACAACAAATCGTTGGATTATTATTATGACTCATCATATCGAATGTTCCACAATCTGATTCGAATGAAAGGATTCAAAACTCTCGCGTTGCCTATGCTGTCTGTCAGAAGTGGGGACCACAAGGAACCGACTGGGGTTGTTAAGGGGACGATGACACTCCAAAACAAAACACAAATTCCAATGTGATCTTTCATGTAACATATGTAAATAAACTTGCAAACAAACCGTTTTTAACTAAGAACATATTATACAAATTCAAAAAAGTAACTATAAGCGGAGAAAAGAAAAGAAAATCTTTCAAAGAGCACTTTTAAGGGCAGCTTACTAAACTTTACTTGAGTTTTGATTAAGAACATGATATAATCCAACAGTTCTGAAATTGCGGAATTTTTAAATTATTGGAGAAAGGTAAAGCAGATTTTGATTTTGAATTCAAAACACTCAATAAAGTTTTTGAATTTGGAAGAACTTTTGAAGCAATTCAGGAAAAGAACGGAATAAATTTGAAAATTTACTGAACTTTGAATCTGAATTTACTGAAAATTTACTAAACTTTCGTTGGCCATTTCATTCACTGTGTATGTTTATTAAACGTCAAAAATCTTCCCAAAAATTTCTTTATACATGGATTTGGAGTGAAGGGTTAACAAAAACATGGGCCAAGGAGGGGACACAATCGGTGCAAAAGGGGACTTAAAAGGGACCAAAAGGGTGAATCTTTTCTTTCTCGTTTCTTTTCTTTTCATTCCTTTTTTTCCTCCGAGGGCGATCTCCCCATTGTGTCCTTTTTGTCTCCGATTTGTCGTGGTCAGTAAACGGTTCCTTTTTCGAGACCCATTCCTTCAGTAAAGGTTCACTGATTTTTGTCAACAACACCAGGAACTGATGGAAATTTATTCTCAAATTTGTTTTTTATTTACCTAATCAGAACATGTTTGTTTAGATTCTTTAACAGCAAGAATGCTTGGCTTGGGTTTTTTTAAGTATGCTCACAATTTTCTGGTGGTGTTTATGTGCTCGTTGTTATCTTTTTGTTGGTGGTAACCGTATTCTTTTAACTTAATTTACCCACTCAAGTCAAAGGCCTTTAAATTTTATCACTTAATTGTTTCATTTGATAATTTGTGGGCATCTATTACGTCAAAAGGAAAATTATAGTGAAAAGAGGAAGTCATTTCGATGAGCAATTGAGAGTCTCGATAAGGGCCATCCAGGAAAACGCGTGAATCTCGATTTCATTCACGGAAGAGAGGAGGTCTTTGTTTTGTTCAAATTTGTCATCAGATCTTAGCTCTTTACTTTTATAGTTAAATGGTAGTATTATCTTTGTGAGTTAGACACTATCTATCACTCATATGTTTTTTTGCCTCACTAGTGATAACTGATTCAAAATTTTCAAGAGTTTACGCAAAATTTGAAACATTTTAATGACTATTGAACAATTGCTTTTTTCAAAAGTTTCAATATTTATCATCTAACATCGTTTAAACATGAATTAGAGCTCCATTTTCTGTATTGTCCCCGTATTTGGAAAACATTTTTGACGATTCTGGGAACATTATAAAACACTCAAAAAAACTGTATAATGTGATTGAACCTGGGAATATTTTGTATTGAAATCTTGCCTCAAACGTGTTCTTTTCCGGGGATGTTAATGCTTGCTTAGAGGATGAATCAGTTTGATCTAAAAAGAGGGAGACAGGCCGTGAAATAGCCCATTTTCCTCAGAGACATTTGTATTATGGCAAATCTTGAACGAAGCTTGAACTCTTTGAACGATTGACTATCAAAATTATATGGGTTTTTGATAATAAACGCTTTTGAATCTGTATAAAAGGGTAATCAGTTTTTCAAATGGTTACATCCACTTTTAAGAGCTGCTCTTCCAGCTCCAGTTCCACTTCCTTCATTGGATTATTGAATACTGAGTGCTTAACTAATTGTGAAAATATTTTAATTCGTAAAATTTAAAGAGAGGCGCTCCTTTTTGCTTAAAAAGGTTATTTATATTATATTTGAGCTTTTGGTAAAAAAAGCAAAATGTTTTATGAGAGGCGGATTCGAACTCCTGACCTGACCACTCGGCAAAAGCACGCTGACGTGATGGGTGCGGGCAAAAATTTGTTAAAAACCCGATACTTACAAAGTTTTTGAGCAATTTAAGCATTTTACGTGATTTATTACCAAATTTATTACCAATTTCTTTTCACTTTCCTTTCCCAAAACCTTTCGTGATCCGATCATGATCAAAATGAACCCATCGATTCTTTTCCCGGATAGGAAATTTCCATCCATTTTTGATTTGATCTCATTAGTTTCATTCGACCAATTGAATCTCCAAGAACTTTTACAACCATCAACTTGACTTTTAAAAATCTACAGGTTATTTATTTGAGTTTTCTAGTTCAAATTGAAAAACTTCAACCATTTGTTCAGGTGCATCTTGTTCGGTTGTTTAGAAATCACTTTTTATACCTCTCCCACAAACGAAAACGTCCAAATTGATCTCATTTTCGTACTATTATAGGGGTAATTTGCACTCTTTTTTTGACCGTGACCCGATTTTGAATCGCCCCAATGGTCAGTGTGTGAAATGAACAAAAACAAGCAAAAAAGAGGTGAATTCATCCTTTTCACTCTTTCCCCATGTTGACCTCCAGTTAGGCGTGTGTTCCGAGTGAAATTTCGGGGATGAACTCAAAATTTTTATTTTATGACTCGTTGTCAGAGGTTTTCAGAGTCAAGAATGGTTAATTATTAATCTCTGATTTTGAAAGGAAATTAATTTTCTTAATTTTTTAAACTTTTGTTATTCCCATTTCAGGGGTGAGCGGTCTGTATCTTCTAATAACCAATTTTTCCAAGGTTGTTTAGGGTAGAATTCCAACCCTTACATTGAAAATATGTAAACAAAGCCCCTTAAGGGCATTCTCTTCTTTTCTACTTTTTGATTGGCGTGGAACGATTCTTTTCTCCATTTCCTTTGTCCCTTTTCCATCTCAAAATGACTGCCTTCTTTTTCGATTGATTGTCAGAGCTTCTCTTTGGTTTTCCTCTTTCATTTATTTCCGATGATCTTTTTGGAGGTGTTTCTTTTTAAAACTTTCAGTTCACTTTTCCTTTTCCCCTTTCCGATCAGCTGATTGCCTCCATTCTCATCGATGACCTTGTCGGGGAAATCTTTTTATCTTCGAAAAACATCACATGCTTTTTCTAATCTAATTTGATTGACTTGTTTTTGCGGATTGGTTGACTAGACTTGCAAGAGACGACTATTCATGATTAGTTCAACTTATTGCTTGCAAATAATTTAGATTTCTTTTCTCACTAGGGAAAGTAGTTAACTTAAATTGAGATTTTAAAACAAAGCCAGTCTATCTTAAAGAGTTTTGTATGGGAACTCCGAATCCGTTTTTAGAATCGGAATGCATGCAAAACTCTACGTTAAAGACTGACAATGAATGAGTCTTAAAGATCATTCAAATCTTCAAAAATCCGTGTACCACTGTTAACTTTTAGCTGAACGAGCTTTAGGGTGTTGTAAATGAAATGTCCAATTCATGAAAGTTCAAAAACAAAGCCTAAAAAACTTTTCCAAAACTCAAAAATAGGCAAAAAACTTTTAAACTCTTAGGTTAAAAGTTAATTTTTTAAGCATTAAAAAGCATTAAATATTAGGTTGATGCATAAGTCTTTACAATTTTTTCCAAACGTCTTTTAAAAATAATTTCTATTTTATTTTTATTTGAACAAAATCTTTACTTGAACTATTAAAAAGGTTAGTTATTTCTCTGCAAAATGGCTTTTATAAAATTCTTGGAAATAGTTGTTTTTGTGGATTTTCAAAGGTGCAAAGATGAGCACCCAAAACTGCTCCGATGCCGAAGTCGCAATCCCTTTCTTCAATACAAACCTACTTTGATTTGAAGCAAAAGAGATAGAGCTTATGTAATTACAAAAGCCTGTAAAATTTGAAAACGATCGATTTTTCCATTTTCTTTAAAACAGCAATTGGAGATTTTAGACAAAAAGTCGTTTTTACCGAGTTGAGGTGTGCTTTGAGCGTCCTCTCAAAGCCATTTTGTAGAGAAATGATAGATATTTTTAATAGTTTAAAATTCTTTTCCATGGAAACAAAAATCTGCAAAAAAATTGTAAAGATTAATGCACCAACCTAATATCTTTTGATTCATTTGATGGAAGCAATGATCATTGAGCCTCAAACTAAATATCTTGTGATTTGTTTCAGCTCTCCATTTTTATTCCCTAGTTGTTATATTTATCTTCTTTCTTTTTCTCCTTTTCAGTGACGTTCAGCTGTTTGTTTGTTTGTTCAAAAGAACCGTTCAGCTGCTTGCACAGACACGCTTTTTGCCTCGCTTTTCCTTATGTGGCTCTCGAGGGATCCCATTTTGGAAGGCACGATCTAGTTTTTCACTTTAATTTCGCTAAATATAGATTTATCTAAATTTCTTTAATCTAAGTTTTTCAGATTCAATTAGTTTCAAAAAGAAGCCAAATGTGAAAATTTGTCAAAGTCAGACCTTTTTAAAGCTTTCAAAACCTTTTTAAATTTTAAATAAAATTTTAAATTTTGCGTCTTTTGTTAAATTTTTTTCTTTTCAAAAATCGTTTGAACCGTTTCCTTTTCTCTTTGATTCATACGATTCTTTTGATTGAATCCTTTGATTTCATTCCTTCCAAAATATAAAACATTTCCCAAGTCGGAAGTCTTAAAAGAAATATTTTACATTGAAAATCGGCCTTGGTTTCCCTCCATTTTTTTTGCTTCTTTTTCCATTTTCTTTTCTCACAGAAATTTCCTCCCGAGATGCTCTTTAGTGCCGTCGAAATAATGAACATAAACCATTGAAGAGTCCTCAAAAAGCTTTTCCTTTTTGACTGAGAAACTGCATAAGAGTGATCAGAAATCTTATCTTCAAAGAACGAACTTACATAGAAAGCTCTACCAGAGATATTTGGCTAAAAAGTTTGGTTTTTGAATCAGATTGGTTCTATGATCTTCGTTCGAAAAGCTCAACTATTGTACCTTTTTAAATTTGGGATTTTTTTTTGTCAAATATAACCGTTAATGGGTTCGATCCCGGCTCACAGGTCGGTCCATTCATATTTAGAGGCTTGCAATGGACCGGAGTCAGCAAAACTTAGGATTGACTGAAATAAATTGACCGGAGAAAAAAGATGCATTGAATATTACTTGATGAATATTGAAGGAAAACATTGAAAGCATTTGAATATCATTTGAGCATTTGATATGAGCAAAAACATTGAATATCATTTGATGAACCTTGAACTTGAGTGTGTGACAACTAGTTCAAAGTTGTAGTTGAATTGAAGCTCCAAAGCTTTCGTACCCTTGTTTTTTGTCTTTTGTTCATTTTGCTGCATTTTCTAAATGAAATTCCTAACAATTTTCCGATAAAAATTTCTTTAAGAAAATCAATCTTCTTATCAAATTTCCTCAATTCAAAACCTTGCAAAAGACTTTCCGAAAAATTTATTGAAATCGGTACTCCTACAAAGATTCTTGGTCATTTTCAAGATTTTAGTAAACAAACCATTCATTTAACACAATAAACAAATGATGTTCCTAAAAAACCCCAATCTTTCTCAACTTACCCTCATTTCTCTTTGTCAGTGAACCTGTTTACCTCTTTCTCGCTCTTCAATTTCCTCTATCATAAGCATTTGTTTTCTAGAGCTTTTGGTCAAAATCAAAATTTATTTTCTTAGAAATGTTGATTTGTCGAGCCACCAGACATAGCACGCAAAATTTGCGAATTGAAAGCGAACACACGCAACTCAACTTGATACAGGATCTGTATTTTGCCGTACGAGCATCAAGAGTCGATTTGGTGAGTTGAATTTGATAAGTTGGATCAACTCAGCATTTTGTTCAAGTGTTGCGTCCATAGAAATTCTGGTTTCTTTTTCAGGTCAGACACCTCCTCTTCAAGCTGCGAGTTAATCCAAAGATCAACATTCAAAAAGTATCCATTTTGACGGTGGCCGTTGAAAGAAATAGCCCAGAGATTGTGAGAATGCTATTGGATCAAGGTGAGGTTTTGGTATACTGAAACTTAACAGACAATAAGTTTATTTTACAAGTTCACATTCTTTTAGCAACAAAATTTTTTTCTTTTCTTTGAACATTGCATTACAAAGTCATTGATTTCTCCTTAAATTTCTCAAGTCAAAATAATAGCGGTAAGATCAATAATCTCCATTTTGTTTTTAAAAATCACTGATTGACCACGTGGAAAAGCTTTGCAGGTGTTGATGTGAACACATTCTCCGAGGCCTTTGCCGGCTCTTTGGAAACACCGTTGTTTACCGCCGTCAAAATGGGACACACAGCTGTTGTTCACCTTTTACTGGTAAGCAGAAAAATGCTCAGAAATTAAGTGGTCAAAGTTTTAGAGATTAAAAGGTTCTCTTTGAATAAACATAAAAATATACTTTAGTACTATGGAGCTGATCCGAATTTGGCAGACTTCGCAAATCGAACTCCGCTTTACATGGCTGTTCAATGTAATAGGTTGGTTAAGGATTGAAGGTAAATGACACTGTGGTTCCTCTCGAGAATTCGGGTCTTTGGACAAAATACGGGTCAAAAGTTTATTTTAACCATTTGTCCCAAGAAAAGTCCCAGGAGGGCGTTGGGTTTTGCAAATGATAGCTTTTCGCAATGAAAAGACCCGTATTTCGGCGAAAAAGCGCTGAACGCCTCCTATTGAACGACTATATAAAGGATTGGTTATCTGAAATAGGTCTTTTAAAACCGGGTTTTAGAAACGCATTACTCGAAAGGAACACGTTTATTCTCGATTCTATTCGATGTTCAGTTAGGAAATAATAGAAAAGTTGATTTCCAGAGAAGAAGAAGCTTTGGCTTTGATCGTGGCTGGGGCGAATCTGAATACCGCCGACAAGACAGGGACTACAGCATTGCAAGTGGCGTCACGAGGATTTGGTAAAAACTAAGCCTAAAGATATCAATGATTGATTTCAGGAAGGGAAATGCTTGCCTTACATCTCATTAATCATGGAGCATATGTACATCAGGCTGATTTCAAGGTTTGAAATTTGCCAAAGTCATTCAAATCGAATCCTTTAGGGCCGAACTGCTATTGAATTGGCGTTAACAGCTGGGAATACTTGTGTTCTCCAAATGCTTCTTGATGCTGGAGCTCAACCGGGGAAAGCACTCTCGGAAAGGTAAATGGAGAATAGTTCAATAATTAGTTTTTAAATAAAACTTAATTGGTGAAAATAATCTTTCGCAGAATAACCAATCTTCTGGCGCATCCAGAAGTGGAGGATTTCTGTGCGGAGAAAACGTTGAGATCGTTGAGGAGAACATTGCCGATGGAGATCATTACAGCAAGGAAAATACGGTAGGAAAGAGCGAAAAACTACTCTCAAAAATTTTCCAAACCTACTAGGATTTTAAAGTCTGGATAAAGCATTAAGAAAAAAAAACAAAGTCTGGAGGAAAGACTAGGGTAGCCTTCCAAACTATCCACCTTTTAGTAGCTCTTACTCACAAACCCAAAAGCTTATTCAGTGACTCGCTGATTAACAAGGAGAAACTTCGAAAAACCGGCCGGAGCATTTGGAAAGAAATCGATCGATTGGCTATTCCCGAGAACGTGAAACTCGAGTTGAAAATCCACGTTCACATTGATGGATTCAATATTTGAAAGAACTGTCGAGCAATTGTCATTTTTCCATTTAACTAGTCGAAAAGTTGCCATTCGAAAACAATTTGTACATACCTGTAAGTATTCAATGAGCCAAGGTCTTTCACTTGTATGCATTTATTCGCTTGAGATTCCTTTAAGCACAGATATTTATTAGACAAATAAATTTTTGATATAATCAAACAAATGACAAGACAAGTACACGTACAAATTATCACAAACAGACCCAAAAAGAAATCGAAACCTGAAGAAATCAAATTCACGGAGGCGTGATGAAGTGTTGAGATGGCATTTGTAACTGGGATTTTGAATTAAAATTTGACAAACTTAATTTTAACTTTTCAATAGTTTTAATCAGGGCTCTTCAGGTTTTAAAGTAATACCAAATAGAGGTCGATTGGACTAACCAATCCTAGGGGAATCAAGAGACCAATCAAGAGACTTGGGTAAAATCGCATCGTACTCTCAGTTTCGCTACTGTCTAAGTGGTACAATGGTTTGCAGAATGCGGAATTTGTAGCAAAATACAAACGAATTTAATGCAGAAAGTGTGATTTTGGGCATAATGGCACCCAAAAAAACGGGGGACGCCCCGGTCGCCTACCGTTCCTTACCCTTTACTGATTCCAAAAGGGAAGCACCTTATATCAGCCAGATTTGCCGGATGGCAAGCGATTGCGCGCACACAAAGAAATTCGTCAGGGATTTTCCTCTTAATTTGTATTGGGTTGAGGAGAATGAGATGGCGCCAAACTTTAGAGACACTTTTTGCATTCATTAAGCCTTCTTGAAATACACGTTTTGTTTTATCAAAAGGGTCCAGCATTTCTTTACAAAATGATATTTAAGAGATGCCATAAAGCTTTTTTCGTGGGGTTTATGGACTCCCAAACACAGCTAGTCAAAATGGCAAAGTCTCCGACTCATCGTTTGAACAGTTTCTTCCACATAAACCCCCTTTGGCGTCTATATAAAAAGATAGAGCACACTCAATTACATCAGTTGCAAAATTTTCAGGAAGATTCCACCAACCGTTTTCTCTAGATGACATTTTATAGATTTTGTGAAAAAATGGCCTTTTGTTGAGCTGATTTGTGAAAATAATGTTTGAGTTCTCTTTTAAGTTTCATTTTTATAGAGAATTAGTTAACGTTTCTACTGATACCAAACACGTATCATTTGCCGAAGTCTGCTAGAAGTTTTAGAAATTTCTTTGATTTTCGGCGCCATTTCATTTTCCCCAACCCATTTGTCGAATCGATTGAGGCTATTCATTTCATTGAGTCTACCAATTGGAACTCGGGTTTTTTTTTACTGTTCACTTTGGAGAAAACTATTCGGCATATTTTTTATTTTCAAAGTGGGGTTTCACTCACCATTTGATTTCCTGCTATCCCTCCATGATACATCGTTTCTCCATAATTCCGCAAATTGTTTTGATAGGAAGGCATCAATGGATAAGTGTTAATTTGCGGTGGGTGGATAACGGCGTGGTTTTGGCCCTGAAATTTCTTTGTTTTGTCAAGTTATAAGCAGTTCTATAAGTTCTTTATACAATCACTTACAGTCTTCATTGTTTGGAATTGAGGACTCGGGGTTGAGTTGGTCGATTTAGAGGGATTTGGCGGGGTCGGATATGGATTCTGAAAAGAATTGGCATGGAGAATTAGCCTAGGAACTATCCACACTTTAGCAAATACCCTACGATAGTATTCAGCTCCTAAAACTTATCCCATTGTAAATACGTACAATAACTTTGCTTTGAACCGGTTGACTCTCTTTTCTTCTCGAGTTTCGATTGTTTCGATTATTTCGATCAGTTTCCTAAAAAAAGTTCAGTAAAAGGTTTATAACCAAAGATGATTTTCTTGGCAAACCTGTTTTTGTCGACTGTACTCAACGAGTATTGATGTGGGAGTTCGCCTCTGTGGGAGGAGCCGCGCCGCATCCAAGTACCCTTCCTAAAGAATAGTAAAGCATTTTGTTCAGTGTTTCAATTCAAAACTATTTGGTGCTAAATTTTAAGCACTCTAGTTAATATTTCGATAAGTAATTCAATTCTATCTCTTGCAAATGGTTAATTCAACCAAAGAAATCCTGCCTTGAGAATCTATTCCCAGGGCTGTTTCTAGAGCCAATTTCCAGACCAAGTCAAGCCAAGGCGAATTGTAAGTCTAAGCCAATTTTTTGATTTCTCTTTGCCTTTGAATTGAATTTGAATCAATTAAAACAAATTAACTTAGCATAAAAGAAAAAATCGAGCTCGGATTTGAATCAAGAATGATTTTCTGAACTAACCAACTTTTTTGCTTGTCTTGACTCTTGGATTTTGGCTTTTCGGAACAACCCGATCACGTAGTCAAGCCATTTCAATCAACTTGTATGCCACCAAAGTTTCACCTCCAAAGCGATGTCTCTAGCCGTTTTCCCGTGCTCATCACCATCATCAACATTCACTCCAAGCCTCATCAATATTTCAATCATTTCCATTTTCCCCCCTTTTGCTGCATACATCAACGGGGTTCTACCCTGAAAACTCTTGTTCCAAGAATAGGTTTTATCACTCACCTCATGATCCTTGATGTTCCGATTCGCTTCTATTCTCTCTTTTTCTTCGATTGAGGATCCCTCAGACGCTTTGAGGGCACATAAATATTCAACAAATTTCACATTATTATATTTGGCTGCATAATGGAGAGCTGAACGACCGTTGTATGAGGGGGCGTCTTGGTCCTGAAATTGGGATTATTAGATGAGGTGATACTGAATGAATAAATAGGTGGGTGATTCATTGATGCTGCTTTTAAGCGGGTAATTAAATCTTTTGGATGACAATTTCAGAAAAATACGTGCGAATCTGAATCTATTAGGTTGAGTACTTTCGAAACTTTGAACACTTTTGAAATCAATGAGACATTTTCCGGTTACTTTTCCAAAAAAGTTGTCGCTATAATTCACTGTAGAAAAAAGATAGGACATAATAGTTAGGAGTATAGCCGAATTTTCAGAACAACTTGCTCTTTCTCTCCGTTTTCTTTAACTTTCTCTTCTAAGAATTTAAGATAAATGAGAAGTTACTTGCGAATTTGCATCATATCAGACCAAAATCTGTTTTAAAATACCTAAAATTAAACACTTAACGAGTTAGAGTTAGATTTAGAAGTTTGAAACTTTTTAAGACTTTAAAATCAAACTTTGAAGTGAGATGAGTTTTGAAAGTACCTCTAAATCTCGAACTCCTTGATAGTTCACACCGGCTCCGTGTTGCACCAAAATCTCCGCTCCATCCGCATCGCGCAGAATGTTTTTCGCGAAAATCATCAATGGAGTCATATTGAACTTGTCAACGGAGTTTATCTGAAATTTTGTGATAAACTATAGGCTCCGGTAAACCAACCAAATTTTTCACATTATGATATTTAAGTAGCTTCTCAAGTAATTCCATGCAATCGATTCGAGCAACAGCATGCAGAACAGAAGCTTCATATCTGAAAACATCAAATTTTAAAGATGGTTGTTATTTTTTTAGCTTTAGAATGCTTTAACAAAGCTTACTTGATTTCAGGGTGCACCCCATCATCGAGGAACTTCTTTATTTTTTCCCAATCTGGACGATTGTGGTAATTCGCAACAATTGTTAGCAGGGTGACCGTCTCATTGTTGGTGAGTGCATTCTCGTCAATCAAACGGACAGATGAGCAGGAACGCTTCCACACTTCATAAGAGACTAAATAATGATGTTTTGAAATGATTTGTACTAAGATTTGTATTAATTAATAATAGCTGACATTTTCTAAGCTTTAAGTTAGAGTAAAGTTTTAATTTTACCCCAGTTTCACTTGAATCAAACAAAAAGCCTGTAGATAGTAAGGCTGGGTGTATTTACTTAATTGAAATATTTGAAACCTGTCGAAAAACGCGTCTAACGGCAGGTTTCTCTGGCAATTGAAAAAATTTCAGTTTTTTTGGCCTAAAGACCGCTGAGAAAAAGCCCGTACAGACGAAAGGACAGACACTTTTTACAGTCGTCAAAAAAGTCTTAGCCGGTCAATTTTTCTCCTTTTTCTCCCGTTATTGCATTCAAATAAATCGATCCCAATTAGTTTTTTTTGTAGTATTTTGTGAAAGCTTTAAGAAGATATTCTTAGATTTTTGATGTCACTCTAAATAGAATCTTTCAAGCTACTTTTGCATAAAAGGGTAAGGTCCTTTTTCTCAGATTTTGTTCAAGGCTTCAAAACTGCCATTAGCCTTTCATTTTTACCAGAACCAAAATAATAAATAACTAATAGACGATCCAATCCCATTATAATTGAAACCGTTTTCAATGGAATCGATTCATTCTTAAAATACAGATTTTTAAAAATCATGCTCAAATAAGGTTTTTCGATCATAAAACTTTTAGTTCAAAGGATATCGAAAAGCTAAATGCTTCATTTTAACAACTTTTGAATTCATTCGAGCACCATGCAGCCGATGCTAAGACTTTTTTGACGACTGTATAGAAATAGCGATTCTTATGAAAAATTTAAGTTTAGACGATTCTTCTCCAGCAATACAACCTAGCAAAGAAACTTGAGGACAAATCGGTGCACGTAAAAAGTGGTTGGGCACTCTTATTAACCCTGCCGAGATAAATCAAATTCGGGTGAGGTATGATTGTTTTTGGAACTAATAAAGCTCGAGGGTCATATTCTGACCTTAACATGTGTCTCATTAAAACCGTTCTCGAATTATTTAGCTTTTTTTCTTTAGGGTGTTTATCCAATCAAACTACCGAAGGTTCTGAAGGAATTGGTGGTTCTGAAGGATATGAACAAATAGAAGATTTAAGCTAGCAATTGTTGATTCATTTAATTTGATTGGTACAGAAGTCTGCTCTCTGAAAGCTGACGATCACGTGATACCCGCAAAATCTGGATTGGGAACATGGTGTTCGGATGCATAGATATTCAGACACAGAGGTGTTCCAACACAAGTTAAGTTTCAATTAGTTAAACTAGTTAAATACTTAGCTGTGTTTAGAGCTAGTTATTGCTTCGTATCTTGCTCAGAGTACAACAAAAACGAAACAGAAACGAAACGAACAAACTCACCCAATGATTCTGCATCAGTCGCTTTTCCCTCACTACCGTTACAAAAGGGGTTCACCGTTTTGAACACAGTGACTTCTCTCCGTTTCGCTCCGCGAAAAATCACCCAAATCACCACAGGAATCAAGCAAATCGAAACCACAACTGTTATCAACCTGTAAAGATATTTATTCACTACTATCTTCGGTGCTTGTATCTCTTATCCTCCTTTGCATAACAGAAAACAAAAACTAATTATAAAGTGCAAAAGCCACCCTGCTTCCCTCCCCCCGGCGGGTGGGGTGGGGTAAGTTTTTTTGCAGAGAACTAGGCATCTCGATTATTACGACAAAGTTTAAAAATGTGTGAAAGGTACGTGGAAATTCGTTTTCCTAGGTACATTTGTGTGTTGATCACGAATATCACAACGGGAAGGCGTAATTCCTCCAAAAAAGGCCAAACCCCACCCGCCCCAGCACCTACTTCCGGTTAATTTTCTGAATTTTTAGGTCTGTATGTTTTAGTGGAAGCGAAACATCACAGAGGTTCTGCACCAAAAAATTGTTTTTAACGGCAAAATATATTAATTTTTAACAAGAAAATACAAAAGTGTGACCATTTGGACTATAGACGACTATGAACTATAGCAACTGGCGGCTTTGATGGAGAGTCTTTGATGGAGGACAATGTGGATCACAAAGAGTTCCCTCCAATATTTTGCCACGATGATTTATCTGATACGGATTCTGTTGAATTTTAATTTATTTGCTTTCTTTTGTATTTTCTTGTTAAAAATTAATTTATTTTGCCATTATGCCATTTGGTGGGGAGGGGGGCGGGGTGGCTTTTGCACTCTCTCTAAGTAGCATGAGAAAGTCTCAAATTAAAATGTTCTTGCTTTCCTTATCCAGAAGAACGCTATTTGGATCGCTCTGTATGCAAATTTCACGTTGAATGCAAAGGGGGTGGATCGACAAAGTATTCGAATTTCAATCAAACTCACCATACTGGCCATCTTGTCTTCTTTTCCTCTTCCGGTCTAACATCAATAATTCCCAAAGCCTAAATGAAAAGAGTCACCATACTAGTTCGTTTTTTAACTTGTTTACCAACCTCAGCAACTTCTGGACTTCCGAGATAAGCAGTCAACTCCTCAACGGTAGGACATAGACTCAAATTGCTCACTTTGCACTCAACATCTAGCGTAATAACCACTTTAGGGACAAGGATTGAATTCCACTGGAAAAAAGTTTAAATCATGACCAAGATATCAGATTTCTTCGAGCTCAAAGAACTTTTTTTAACTTAACAGAGTTAAAACCAAGAAAATTGAATCTAATGTTTTGGAAAACAAACCGGATCAATCATTTTCTTGTTGACATCAAACACGAGCAAGTTGTGCTCCTCATCTCTTGCGATCTCCACCCAGAGCCTCATTTGCGTCAACACTGTGTTGACTTGATACAATTTTTTGTTGAGTCCGCTCATCATGTCGGGGAAAGTATCATTGGCGAATGTGACTTCGAGATCGACACGTGTTGGCAAGTGCAAGTCTAAATTGTTTAAGTGATTCAAAAGCTTCCATTAGAAAAACCACTTAATTTTTAGTTTACCAGCTCTGACTTGGTTTGCCAGATTCGTCCAATTTGTCTACAAAACGTTAGCAAGAAAATCTTTACTTTTAGGAGATGTAGTAGTTAAAAGAGTTGTTGTCACTGTAGTTTCAACGGAAGTTGCAGTAGTGCTGGTTGGTTCGGTAATGGGTTCTGTGGCTGCGTTTGTTGGGGTTGTTGAGGTCGTTGTGGTCAAACCATCAGGCGCAGCAGGATGAACGTCTCGATTGTTTACCGGTGCTTTGTGTTTCTCTTCACATCGATCCCCAAAATACTCCCCTTGGCAGTCACATTTGAACGAACCTTGCTAAAGTTTCGTTTTAGGAATGTAGATAAATAAAGCCAGTTCTGAAATCTTACCGTATTCTCGCAAGCTCCATTGTTTTTGCAAAACTCGGGATCTTTGCACTCATCGATGTCAAACTGAAAAGGCTATTGGCATGATTACAGTTAGCAACAGTTCTGAGTGTTCAGAAGTTACTCTAGAATAGGCAAAAGTTGAAGTTTAGCAACTGTTTTGACCCATTTTGCCTTTATCTCTTTACCACCTCTGCAAGTTTATCAGACATTTGATATGCGACTTTTCAATATCTTGGTGTTGGGCTGTCCAATTTCAATATTCTTGGTATCATTGGATGCGCCAAGTCTTTCTCTGTCGATTGGTACAAAACTTTTTAGCTTGAACAGCCCAACACCAAGATATTTGGGCTCAAAGTTAGATTGCTAATGACAACAGGGCGGTGTGCGTATCAAATGTTCCACAATCCTTCTGCAATGCTTCTACCTCACATCGCTCCCCTCTCCATCCCGGATGACAAATGCACCTCCTATCAGGTTCTGAATCTTGCATAATTCCAGCGAAAATTGACATCCAAAAGCCTTTCTCTCCACAAATTCCATGCAAACAATATCCAGTGTCATTGCAATCATCGAGAAACCCGTTTGACTCTTCGGCGGCATTTTGACCTAAAATTGATTGGTTTGACCAAGCTGGGAAAGTTTCTTAGCCAGTGAGAACACAAGTGAAATGGTAAATAAATTTCTTAAAAGAGGTTTATTTAGCTTAGAATTAAACCAGCTTCAAGTCTTACTGATCGTGACAATGAATGGCCTAGAGATACCCTATCAGCCTTAGATTTGTCCTAACTGGTCCCAATCTGGTTCACCTAGCTCTGTTCTTTAAGTTGGTCTAACCTAGTCCATATCGCGGTTAGATATGGTTTTAACTTCCAAAAAAGCTTACCTGTTATTCTTGTCACCAGAGTCAGTAGCAGCAACCATCTTATCATTGCAAGAAAATCAGCGAATACTCAAAATATTTAACGAGTAGGAATGGCAAAAAAATTTGTGAACCTTCAATTTTTTCGAATAAACCAACCACAATCACCGTATCTCTCCATTCAGCCAACGGCAAATCCCCGAATTGAATCCAATACAAATCCCCGGTATCACTCACTAATTGTTCTAGCCTTGTTCTGGCATTTTCTTTCGTAATTGCCTTGTATTCTGTGGGAATCTCTTTAGGCAGCTGTGTTTTAGAATCACTGCTGTGCAATTGTGCTCAAATAAGAAAGGAATTTATGACATTGTAATGGTAAATCCAGGTTTATTGGGAAGTATCAAAGATCATCATTCAATTGTGTAAGCTCTTCGACGGGCAGTATTTTGGCTTTCAAGAGTTTGACGGCGTTGCCACAAGTTGGGCATGACCTGAAAAAGATTTGTTTTGGTAGTTTGCTAAAACATGTATCCCTGTGTTGGGTAATTCGTTTTCTAAAAAACGGATAATTTGGAAAGCTACCTTATTTTCCTTAGATTTGATCCGTTTACCTAATTTTGATCTTTTTCAAGAGTTTGATCCTCATCGGATGAGATCAAAATTAGACAAATCGAACAAAATTTGAAAGAAAGGTCACGGTAGTTTTCTTTTTACCGCAACAAGCTAAAGCACTTGTTTTTTGATATTTTCCCCAGATTATCTCTTCGGAATTAAGTTTTCCATAAAAAAGTTGGTTTAGACAAAACAAAAGCACTTTTTCTGAACGCTAAACCCACTTCAACTCATCATATCTCTTGTAGCAGTGATTGCAGAGACAAAACGTGTGCCTTCCACTCTCCAGAAAGACTCGATCATCGCCGAAGTGAGTGTCTTAAAAGTTAGACGAAAATGCAAAGTTTTTTTCTTTCAAAATACTCTGAGCTTGTCAGTATCCGTTTTCTCACCCATAGGTCGTTCACAGAAATAACAATCGCTCGACTTCATCTCATCGCCACAGTGAATCCTCGAGAAACGTTGCTCATCCGATTTTTCCATTCTTCTGGAAATGCGTGTTTGAGATCGGATGAATGAATTGGAATGACAAAAAATGAAACATCTGAATGACCAGATAAATGGATACTTTCTTAAAAATATCAAGTAGAAGAGGGAAATGGAGATACAACTTACTATGAATATGTTTATTTTCTATGATAGGGAAACAGGCCAAATGAATCAGGTACTGAATTTTTTTGCGGCCACTCTTTGCGGTGCAAGATAGCACCATGTGTGTCAGCATATGTTTTTTTGTCTTGCAGCTAAATTTGAATGCAGCTTGATTTACACTTAAAAATGGAAATGGTTGCTAAAAAGTCACAAGTAAGCCATTACGTTCTTCCGACTTTTTTGGAGGCGATACTCAAATACAAATTAATATAACTAATGTAAAGTGGCTACCAAAAAAGTGACAAGTACTGTTTATTTGTTTATTTAAAAAACATGAAGTTGATACGTATCGGGTGCGCCAAAATCATAAAATGGGGAATTCGAAAGCTTGCATAAAGATATTTAAATATCATAATGGCCAAAGTTTTACTCATAAAAAGATTAGCTCTGGGAAATTTGGTGTAGAAGTTGTCAGTGATGGCCATAATTTGTTCCGATAAAGCAAATGGCAAGAAAACTATTGAAAAGTCAAGAAATTGGTAAAGGCAAAAAATGGAAAAATGAAAGTCATGAAGTATTCGGGAGAATTCAGAGGAATCAGTGGTTTGTTGACAACTTCTTCCCTTTTCCCTTTCACCCATTGCCCGCCCTTTTTTGCACTTTTCGTCAATACCTTTTTTACCCACAAGACATTGCGCAACGTAAATAACAAAGATAGAGTGTTTCCCCGGAAAAATCCCAAAATTTTCGCTAGAAATAGCAATGAAAGACAATGGAGGTTAACAAGGTTAGAATTGGAAGCGGAAATTATTAAAGGAAATGATATTTCTGGAGATTTGATTTGACATTGATTTGTGTCTTTTATAAAATTATTGAATGGTCTAAATTATCTGAATGTTAATAGGAAATGGAAAGAACAAAGATCGAAAAACTAAAGCTTTCAATTTAACGACTGTTTTTCCTTCAAGGATGATTCTTTCATTGCCAAAATTATTGAATGTTGATCAAACGCCGAAAGTGATCCGATGCACAGGCGAGCTGAATTTTCGTTCTTATTTTTCAATTTGGTTGATGAAGTTTGCATTGGTCTTAAGAGTACTACCCGAGGGGTTTTCTTTACCAATTTTCGATCTTTTACTTTCGAGTCACTGTTGCTAAACTTCAAAATGGCCTAATTTCCTAAAAAAGGGCTGATTTTTTCCCAATAAATTTGTCATCGTAAAGCCAGCCTTTAATCCTTGATACTTATAATTTTGAGCTTTCTAAATTATAACTTAAAATATTGAATCCAGAATTATCTAACTTTTGAGCCTAATCAGACTTTTGTTAAGAACAATTTTATCAAACAATAACTTTTTCGACAAATCCAGGAAAACTTGAAACTAGGGTATCTTTTTCAGAAACCTACAGAAGAAATGAAAAGGACTCAATCTTTGAATCGAACTCAAACTTAGGCTTTACGAACTGCTTGGACTATTTCATTATTTCTAAGTTTTCCATAATCTCCACATTCTTAGCGCTCAAAGACCGCGCCGGATGGATGGAAATACCCGTCCCCTTAGTATCCACAATCGAGGCTCAGTTGGTCAAATTCAATCAGTGAGCCAGCCTGGTGTTGCCTAGTCTTTTCTTCAAGCTCAGTTACTCTTTCAGCTCTTTTTCTCGTTTCCCCGTTCTGGATGAATGGTGTAGAATGTAGCGCCTTTTCTCCATTTTTCAGTTTTCCCCCTCTTCTCCATTTCTTTATTACGGGGAAACCCCGCCTATTCCCATTCCATTCTTTTTCTTTTCCTTTTCTTTTCTTTTCTTCATGAATATAGAGGACCCTTGAGGAGTTCTAGAAATAATGGTTTACTGAAGCTCTTCAAAATTTTCAGGACTTTACGGGCTTGTTTCGAAGATAAAGTTTCAACGGCTTTACATAGAGTTTTGCACTAAACGATTGCTTTTGAACTCTTTTCAAAAAATCTTTCTTGCTGGCTATAAATAAGCATTTTCCTTGATTATCTACATTAAATCTGATATTTTAATCTAATAATATGTTCACTAAATTTTCAAATGATAACTTTATTCAGCTCTTTTCCTGAATTGCTTCAAAAGTTCTTCAAATTCAAACACATTATTGCGTGTTTTAAATTCAAAATCTCTGCTTTAACTTTATCCAAGAATTTCAACATTTTCCAGTTTCAGAACTGTGTCATGTTCTTAATCAAAACTCAAACTTTCCAGAATCACCTCCACTTAATGTTGTCGATCCAATTGATCACCCTTGAAAATGTCTATATTTAATGTCTCTCTAACGTTTCTCATTTTTCATTGCGCCTTTGCTGAATTGAGGTCTCAACTCTCCAAAAATCAGGTGAGTTTTTCAGAATCGGGTGTAAATTGCCCAAGATTTCACGGCTCGATAAATCCGGGATTTTTGCCATAATCTGGAAAGACGTAAATTGTGTGGAGTTTTTGATTATTCAAAGAAAGAAACCCGAGAATGGGATAAAATACAAAAAAATTCGTGGGTTAAAGAATTTTTCCGCCAGGCGTTCGTTTAGGATGCATAAACGCACGCCTGCTGGGACAGTATTTAGGGAAATTTCATGCGTAGTAGTCAATTGAAATTCGTTGTTTTTAATATTCAATTCAAATATTGCTCGAGTGAGACGTTTCGCTTTACTACAGTAACCTTTTTTGGCATTACAGTAGTCCGTCCTGAGCAGATTGCCCTCCCTGTTGCCTTAGAATAGTCAGTCAGCATTTTCTGAAGCTAAATCTTCAAATTAAATTTATTTTTACAATTCCCAAACCTGACCATTATTCCTGAGAATTTCCCAAATCTTGCAAGGACACCCAACCAATTTTCGGATTACTGTCACATCGCAAATGAAAGAAAACATTTCTCCTCTGATCTAAGGAACATCTTAAGGCAAAAATTTGGTCAATTTTGCTCGTTTACTCTAAAAAGTTGATGGCTTTTCGAAGTTTTTCGCTAAGGGCTAAAATGGGAAATTTCAGTTAAGTGTGAAAATGGAAAACGACTCTTTGAGGCATTTGAGAGCACTGAAGTAGTTGAAAATTGAGCTAAAGATTCTGCAGAAGGTGTTGGATAGTTGGATGTAAAAAGATGAAATTTTAAAATGAATAAATATTTTCTACTTTCTTCAACAGTAAAAAAATATCAAAAGTTTGCAACATTTTGATATGAAAACTTTACTTGATGTTTAGGTTTCCCTCATCCAACAACTCCTACATGAATTTGGCGGAATCAAACTCTCCTTCGAGTCGCTGAGTCAACAGTTCCCAGAAAATGAGGTATGATCTCTTATTCAATTTCAAAATTTCTCATTCTTTAGATTTTCTTTTCTTTATTGAATCCGGAAGAATCAGTGCCGTTAATTGAATTGGGTCGGAGGGAAAATCTGGTGAGGAAAAATTGAGTTACGGGTAAATGAGTAGATTGGGAGCAGCTCAAACAAAAATAATAAGAAATAGCTAAATCTCATAAGTAACTAACTTAGTCTTAGTAAATAATGGTTTCAAATTTTTCAGTGTTTTCTTTTTACTTGACTTGCTCTTCATAAAACCGACTTGCTTTCAGAAATCGACAGGGAATAAGATTAAGCTTAAAGTTGCCAAAAAGCCCAAAAAACTTCAAAAACTTGACAACTTTCACAACTCACAATCAGTTTTTAAAACTTGAATTTCCTTCAAATGCATGTTTTTTGAAAAAAACCAGAAACGTAATCAGTAATCCGCGTATTTCCTGAGATTAACGAGGAAAAGAAGGATTTACATTGGTGATTCAATGACAAACTACTAGTATAAATAGGGTTTCTAATTTTGTAGATGAAAAATATGAAATTATTTAGATATCACTTTCGATTGCTGAGGAAAATCTTTCAAAAATATGGGAAACAGAGCTGAAAGGGTTTGTACAACTCTACTTTCGACAAGATGAAACGGGGAATTTGGTGGTGGAAACGGATAATGATGGGCAGCGATCAGATTGTGTTTCAAATGAAATCTCGAAGAGAATGTAAGAGTTAAAGATACTTTGTCATAGATGAATATGTGGAGCTTGATCATGATTTTGAAAACACCGATTTCAGTGATTTTTCAAGTTAAAGGATGTTGGTTAAAATCAAAGTGAACTCTTCTTTGTAATGCGTTTTTTACAAAGCAGCAAAGATCCAACCAATCTTGAGAAAATCAAAACCAACTTGCCTTTGTCTCTTGATTTTCATGAAAATGGAAAATCCAATCCACTCAAGCTTTGTATCATTCGACAGCCTGAAGTGTCCTCTTTAAAGCTAAATAAAAAGTTAACAGTAATATTATCTCTTGACAAAGTTATGGACTTTTAAAACGTAATATCCTTTAACGGACTATAGCCGAGTTTCAGCGAATTCGCTGTGCTACACAAATGTCCAACTAAACAATTGAAGTTGCTTTTTTGCTATTAAATAAAATTTAAACGCAATCAATTTACAAAACACTCAAAAACGTCTTAAATTCTCTAAAAGTCCGGGAAAACGGACAAGAGTCGACAATTTTTATCCTTTCTTTCTCATTTCCTAGGATTATTTGAGAAACAAGAGCGAATAAGCTCATGAAATATTCATGAAGCCGGATAAAGTCCAAGAAAATGAAGAAAAGGGATATTAAGGTAAAATGAATTCTCTGAAAAAAACAAATTTCCAGAAAAGACGGTCAATTCAAAGTGCTGATTCATCCAAATGTGAGTGTCAATGTGACGATGTCGATGACAAATTCGTTCAAAACGCAGAAAAGGTAAAACTTGGAATTGATTGATTTATGAATCTTTTGAATTGCTAATCGGAAAATCTACCATTTTGCTCATTTTTGATAAAATTTGAATCTTGAAAATTTTAGTTGTGAAAAAGCTGACGAGGTGTTCGTTAATGAGACCAAATCAGTTGGTGACAATGGCAAAGCCAAGCATTTGGAACACTATGTAAGTTTACAATACAATATAAGTTTCGTAATAAAAATAATATTTAAGACAAAACAAACCTATTTAGATTTTGTTTAGTGTGAATATAGTGGTCTCTTTTACGCGTCCGGATCAACTTTTCAGCCGGGAGCCTGTGAACGCTGCAGATGCAGTGATGGGGCGATTGCTTGCACATTTGAGTAAGTACAGCTCATTGTCAGTACTATTTTGATTTAAGATTGTGGGACATTAGGTTCAAGCCCCGCCCCCTTTGCCATTGGCAATCTAACTTTGAGCTCAAATATCTCGGTGTTGGGGTGTCCAATTTAAATATTCTTGGTATCATTGGCTGCGCCAAGTCTTTCTCTGTCGATTTGTACAAAAACTATTTAATTGAACAGACCAACACCAAGATATTTGATCTCAAAGTTAGATTGCCAATGGCAAAGGGGGCGGCGCGAAATAAGGCGAAATGAGAAAGAGCTTTCTGAAATAAGAAACGAATTAATCAAAAAGCTAAAAAAATGACTGCTGGTAGTTGGTTGACCGTCTCTTTGTGAACAAGAAATATACCTATTAAAAAGCTTACTAAGAGTTTGTTTATCAACAATTTAAATAGAGATAAGTTAAATATAAGTTAAAAGCCTCTGGGGAAAAGGACAAATTCAAATAGAGTAATATAAATGTCTGGCTGCTTTAAATAGGTTGTTGGCGATTGCCCACGTTTTAGCGGGCAGAAAGTCGCAAAACGTCATTTTCAACTTAAAAAGGCATCAAGTCTTCGCAGAGTTGATCGATTTTTATTTTTTTGGTATCAAAATGATCTTTATAAAGGTCCACACAAAAGTTATCGGTTTTGAGGGCGCAATCTTTCGACCACGCTGAAAACGAGCCGCCGAAAGTTGGTCACTGCGAGCGAGTTGCTTGTAAAAGTGCGGTTTTTTCGATAAAATGCGATTTTTAAAAAATGTATCAGACGGATTTTGATAATTTTTTCACCATTGAAATCAGCACATTTTTCTGCGTTGAATGGCTATTCAAACATGGAAAACGGATAGAGAACACCATTTCGCGCGGATGTGGGGCGTGGATCTGATAATTTTGATTTAACTCAAGAGCTTCACTATGTTTCGTCATTTTTTTACAATTTAATAGAAAAATTTCTTAAAGTGAATGCATCTAGCTGCAAGAAATGCTCGACTATAAGTTTGTTATTTGTTTTAACTCCAACTCTACCGAAAGATTGAATTCTGAATGATTTGAAATTTTGTCAAATGTTATGCAATTTTAAACAAATGCAAAATTCATTCTTAACTTCTATTTATCTCTAGAAAAATGATAGAAATCTTTTCAGATCCCCTGTTCCGTGTGATGACTCAACTCCAGAATGGCTTCGTGGCTGTTGCCCGAAGGTCCATCAGACCGATTTTTGCTCTCCGTCTCCATGCGGATCGGACGCAAATTGCACAAATCTCATTGATCGAGCCGATTGTGTTTGTCAAGAGGTAAGAAAAATGAAAGAAAAGAGATTGTAGCTACAAATTAGGGGTTCACCGGCGATGGAATCACGTGCGCCGATGTGGATGAGTGCCAATTCGATGAGGCTGCGAGAGAACAAGTGAGGTTTAAAAACCAATACGAAGAAGTAGACATAGGGACTATAAGCTACAAAAATGACAAACTGTCACACTAAAAACGCTTCTAACTTGCTTCAAATCTACCGGATCGACATGATCTATAGCGCAAAAAATAGAGAATCTCAAGAGCTTTCGAATGGACACACCCAAAATATCAATGCTAAAGAAAGTTACACTGGTTCGTTACACTTGCGGGTAGTCGAATCAATCGAGTCAGGCTACAAACCAGTGTAACTTTCTTTTTTAACATTGATATTTTGGGTGTGCTTTAGCCCATTCGAAAGCTCTTGAGATTCTCTAGTTTTTGCGCTATAGATCATGTCAATCCGGTAGATTTGAAGCAAGTTAGAAGCGTTTTTAGTCTACGTTTGTAGTTTGTAGTGTTTGTAGTAAACTTGCAAGAGTTGTAATTCCAAGTTATCAATTACTTGTCAAAGAATGTTTTCAACGAATTTTAAAAACCTTTTACAGTTGGGCGGATGCTTGGTGGGAACGATTTGTGTGAACACTCCCGGCTCGTTCCGGTGTGATTGTCTGCCCGGACATCAACGGATCGACGATCGAAATTGCCTTGACGTACTTCGCATTTAGTTAGAATTATGAAATCAGCACTTGAACAGAACGCTTATAATATGGGTGAATAAATTTAAAATACTTGTTTTAGACAGCAGTGTAACAAGCATGATCAATTTGATCAATTACTCAACTTTACTTCGGTCTTTAGTACCATCTTGGTTTTCGGTTAGGTAAATCTGCATTTAATATCTCTTAACAAGAATTAACTTTCTCAAAATTAGCATTAAAGCGAAAGTTTGCTTTGACGCATGCTAAATTTGACTGGATACCGAAATGAGGTTGGTAAAAAAGCTAAAAGCCAAGACCAAGCCAAAGCCAAGTCAATGGGTTGCAATTGTCCTTGGCCTGGAATTCCAACTTCACCATTGGATTTGGCTTGACTTGCCTGGAATTTACGAAAAATTGATCTTACTGGGGAACATTCCCAACTTACCCTGGCCTTTACGAATCAGCCAAATACCATTCTATAGGCCTTGAAACGTAGATTTAGAATATCTATATTAAAACTGCTAATGGTAAGGGGTAGTTTGAATCATTTAAAAAATGGCCTTAAAATTTTTGATAAAATTGATGTATCGAATGGTACTTGGCTCATTCGAAAAGGATAGGGTAAGTTGAGAATGTTTCTTAGTTAGATTGACTTGGAAATAGGTTTTTGCCAACCACGGGGACGGGGTATAACCAAAGAGTACTAAAAGTGATACTAAAAACTGACTTGGCTTTTAAGTCTAGCAAAAGTTTACGTGACAATCATTTTCTACGCTTGTCTATCTGCTTAAAAATTACATTCCATCCGATTTCTCATCAAAACAACGACCCGGATGTAAAAGATTCAGTGATACGCAAAAGTGGGTCATTTCACCCCGCCGAATCACCAAAGTTTATGCGTCTAAAACTGTGAATAGGTATTTCAAGCCTCTTTTTCAAAATGTAGGAAAGGTGTGGTCATGAGAAAAACTTCTATAAAACCGACTCTGGAATTTGATTTTTTACGAGATCGGGTGATAAGGGTGAAAAGGAAACGAACAAGTGAGCAAAGCAAAAAAAGAGACGGGTCTTGTCTTTCCTAGGGTCCACATGATCTTTGCATGTTTACAGCTTTTTGCGAATTTCCGATAAAATCTAGATTTGCGGTTTTGCGGAAATTTCGCGAATTCGATGACTTTGAGTCAGATCTTTAATAGCTTGACGTAAAAACTTTGCCGTTGGTGACTGGTCATTTTTTTCAAAGGTAAAGCCTCTTATTGAAAAGCTTAGACCTTTTTCATTCTTCAGAATTCGTTTTCGTTTCAAAAATTTTGTGCTTTATAAATTTTAAAGTCGTGATAAGGAATAAAAAAGTTTTGGAGCTTTATTTTCTTATTTTTCGATTAATAGAGAATCAGGTTTTGACCGTACCAGGTCAGTAGTACTGTCTCAGGACCCGGGATTTTCTTGGCGCCAGGGGGAGCTAATAGACTTGTCCCACTTTAAACTCACCAGCCGTAATCGCCAGGGTGGCCGGTTCTCAATAAAGCCAAATTATCTGCAAGTGGGTGTAGTAATATACCGTAAATACTGTAATCGAAGGGCATGCCCTTCTATTTTTCCTATCCTTTTTCGGACTCCCCGAAAAATCACATAAGGAGGGGCCATATAAAATAAAAATCTTTTAAAACCACTCTAGCTCGATTGAAAATACTCTAAAACGAAAAAAAAACATGTTTAAGTATATAAATAAATAAAAAAGTAAAAAACATTTATATTTAAAAAACTATGGTCAAAATAAAAATAGAAACAATTTAAATAACTAAATAACACCAACACCAAAGAAATCTTTTCAGCCTTGATTCCTGGAGGTCAGACTCTGGCAGCTTCAACCTTGATTGTCTCAGCCAGTTTTAGTTTAACGGACTGTGGGATTTCTAGCCAAAATACAGCCATCTAGAACACCTCGCCAGTCATTCACATAAAAATGACTCCGTTGCTTTATAGATTCCCCAAAGAAGAAGATATTGAGCTGTAAATTTGTACCCGGGGTTTTTTTTGGGCGGCGAATCGATTGGAACGATTCATTTTATTGAGTCTACCAAATGAAACTCGGCTTTTTATTGCATCTTAACCTTCAATTTCCCTTCATTTTTGATCATGTCATCCACAAACTTATTACGATTTTTGAACCCCACCTATCAATAACTTTCCCCGATTTCAGATTATGTAGTCACATAACCTTTCGAAAATTTCCAATCTCTCAGGTTATAAATTCTTCTTTGAGCATTTTTGCACAAAAACGCTTTGAAAAGAAATCCGCCTAAGTTGAATGCGTGCTTACGGGGTCGTAAAGCTTTTCCATCGACCCAAAGATGGAATGAGGCTTATCAGAAAACGATTTCCCCCTCTTCTTCACTCACACCGATCAATTCTCTTTCGAATCTACCCCGTACACTTCACACTTTTTCAGCGCTTTCAAAAATTTATCCAAATTTTTGAGCTCATCTTTTTGTTTATGTTTTCCTGTAACAGCTGATTGGATGGTAGACAGAAATTAGCAGAATTTTACTGAACAAGGCTCTGGAATCGTAGAGCCGTAGTTTTTTTGGGGTACAATGTGGATTATCTTCAGCTATGCATCACCCAACTATGATATTTCTTGTTATGCAAGTCACCGATTTGAATCCCTGGCACGGATCATGTCGCTAAATGGTGTTCATTATTTATGAGGACTTTTGAGCTCACAGGTCGTTTAGCGCTCTCAAAATTGGTTTTATGAAAAAAGTCGTCAAGAAAGAACTGCATAGGAGTTGAAACAAACTCGAGATGATTATTCATCTCGAGTTCATCTCGAGACTAGATTTCTAGATTATTTTTATAGTTTACTTAATTTGGTCTTTTCAAAAATCGATGCATTGGAACTCGATCAGCAAATTTCACCAAAAGAAGTCAGACCCCATTTGTTCTTGTGCAATGATGAGAAAGACTTCACCATTTAACAGTTTTCGAATCTATGGACATTAAAAATGTTAGAATCACATTTCAATTTTGGTTCTCTCAAGAAAGCTTAATGAGAGCTTGTGATAAACTCAATTTATCCGACCTCCGTGTCACAGTGGGCGTTTTCCATAGGAGTTTCTAGGCAAGCAACAGTGTAATAATTTTGAAAAAAGTAACCTGAAGTTGTTAACGTTGGGCGTATTGATAAGTGAGTTTCCTTTTTAGCATTAAACTTGTACAAAATGAGCTCTAAAACTACTGGTCATCTACTGGTCCCATAAATATTGAACATCCTATATTGCTAGCCTCAGCCCAAAAAGGATCTGGCTTATTCAACTTTTTTTCTGAACTAACTAACCAGGCATCTCGCGATTCCGACCTATTTATCAAAAAAACCAAGTAGGTATTCAAAATCGGCGTAAGATTCTGTGTCAAAGGGTATAGAAAGGTCAACTGGCTGGTCAGGCCATTCATCAGTATGGGTCAACCAGCTGACCACCCCTTATAAATATCGTGCGTATGAAAAACCCACTAGCTATAGTTGCTAAACTAGTTAAAACCTATTAACCAGCAAAATATGAATACTGCCCAACAACTGAACACTTTATCGTTCTTTTGTCCTTGTTCTTCGTTTCCTACATCATTTCCTCACTCATGTTGTCTTCTTACCTTATCTATTGATACTCTAAATAAATATTGTAGTGCCTATTTCTATTGCTTTTCAACAACAAGGCGCTTTCCTTGATCACCAGAAGTTTTCAGTTTCAGTTTAAATTTCAAAATGCACGAACCACAACCTGACTATGGTTTTGCTGGGCAATATCACAATGAGAACGGATACGCGAATCCTATTTACTCCTATGAAGACGCTGACTATCATCCACAGCCACGAAGAGAAGCGGCAAGACTGCCCGTGAAACAACCGCCACATCACTATGTGCCGGTAAGTTCATTAAATGAGTTGTCAATTCATGTTCTTATTACAAGAATCAGGCAGTAACTTGTGCGAATCACAGTGCGGCCGAATTCATTCTAGTGTAATATTTAACTACTATATAAAATTGTTACTTTACCATTCTTAAAAGTAATTATCCAACGTGAACCTTTGTCGTTTCCCAGATCTCACCTCCGAAAGCCCATCTACTACCGGCCTTCGATCAGGAGAGGGGAGTTAACGCTGATTTGCACAAGCCAAGTACTGCTGAGCACATTCGGCAAGTCGGGGTGCCTGTTTTACCGATTGGACAACCGAGCGCTGTCGGGGTTGATCTTTATGGTGAGTTGCGGAGTCGAAAGAATAAAAATTGGGTATTCAGTAGAGTTATGGCAAAAACATCTGTCGGTTCTTTTTTGCCGTTGGCAATTGAAGGTTTATCGTGTTTTTCACAGCTATCATTGAATCAAAATTGTGGGTCGAATGATACCAAAATTAACTCAAAATGTAATATCCATGTAAAGTTATGAGGCAAAAGGTTAAGTCCTGCCCATAATGAGTGGGGTTTAGGTTTTTAGCCAACAACTTTGGATGGTTATTATATTTTGAGTTAACTTTGGTGTCATTGAAGGCGCAATTTTATTCTGCATCGAATGATAGACAAAATAGTCAAAATCGAAAGATTTGGTGCTGAGAAAAACACAAAAAACCTTAAGTTGCCAACGACAAAAAAGGACTGACAGATGTTTTTGTTACAAATCTAGTATGCAGCATAAGCAGTTGAAATCTGAATCACCACAATTAGCCCATTTTCCAAAATAATTCTAGTTTTATATTTGTACAGCTTGTATCAGTTCAGAAACACTTTAGACTTTCGCATTTTGATTTGATATTTTTCAGGAATCGTTCCGCCATCCCAGAACAAAGCCTACCTTCAACACCTTCGAAATCACCGAAATTTCGACACCATGAAAAACCTCCAAAGTGTAAACGATTGCCAGATTTGTCAAATGTTCTTGGCCGCGGAAGGATTTCAGTGAGTGATGAATCAGACTTGTGATAAGCAGAGGGAATTCAGGTTAAAACGCCCAGAGAGGCCGAAACTGAACTCCCTGCAAATCGATATCCCCGACGAACCAATGGAGTATTCGTTGGATTATACAAGAGATGCCCCGCGAGAGATGCCTCAACAAGAGTATTTTCGAGAGATTCCCTATTCTGCTCCACAACAGTTTCCACAAGAGTACCCCAGGGAGACACCATATCCAGTGGCTCAACCTCAAGGAATGCCTTCACCGCAACGACCACAACTTTTCGAGGGACTCGTTGATTCGAGACATCGTCAAAGAGTTCATGTGTGAGTTTTGCATTGAGCTATAGTCTTGATCCAAACAATTTCATGTTCAGGTCTGTTACCAGATCAGGGTTATTCCAAAGGCAATTTTTCAATACTTGTCGGTTAGATCCCTCATTGCATCCAGGTTATCTTTCCCCGAATTGCTTGATTCGCTATTTTAAATGCAGATTTTGGAAGCTAAGACTAAATTACAGGCAAAAGTTCTGTTGTTTTTAGAATTCTCTCTGAAAACTTTCTGGTTGATTTTATTTCATAAGTGTTTATAGCCAAAAGATAGTCATCTTTTACAGAATTTAAATCTTATTACAGTTTTTAAATAACTGCTTTAGTTTTTGAGATATCGCTATTCTCTGCTCTTCGAAAAAAGTATCTGTGGTCGCACATAGTTTTGCGCTTTTTCATTGCAAGAATTTCTATGAAAATTACAAACTTATTGAACACTCTTGTTGTATTTCCAGTTTGGAACTGATAAAAATTTTTTGAATACTCCTAATCGTCTGTGTTCTAAGTTTGACAGATTTTCTTATACTGGTACTACTAATAACTGGTGTGACCACAGAGCTCACGCAAATTGTGATAACTCAAAATTTTAAGAAGCCATTTAGGATAATAGGATTTAAATTCTGTGGAAAATTGGCCTCTTCTGGCTATAAACACTTATGAAATCATAACAATCAGAGAGAATTCAATTAAAGAGAATTTAAAAAGGACAGAACTTTCGCCGCATCCTTTAATTATATTTTTCCAATGCTGATTTCAAAAAAATTTAAATTTGGCGGACATAACCGATGATGCAATGGAGGATATAATCGACTAGTACCATCTTTTCGTTTTTCAGCCTGACTTTTGGGCTGATTGTACTGTAGAACTAGCCCACAAAAGACTCTGAGCCCGCCAGAAGCCAGATCTTTCCTGCAGGTCCGCTAACTCTCGAATAAAATCATAAATCTGAAACCAGTTGACCTAGCCTTACATTCTGGTATCAGACTCTATAGCTCTTCTACAAAACTCTCGAATCTATTGATAACAGTACTCCCATCGACGGATTTCATAGTTGATCTATTGGTGAGGTCTTTATTGGAACATTTGCAGTAGTTGTCCGGTAACAATTTTGTATTCCAGGAAGGACATCTTCCAAGCACCACCACAAAACCTTGCTCCCCACAACTACACGGAGCCGATGCCAAACGGATACTCGCCAAGAATACACCAACACAAGATTATCATCCCAGCACCAGATTATGATCCACCAGCACCAGACTACCCAGTCACCATCAAAAAAGAGATGAAAGAGATGAAAGAGACAAGGTTTGTTCTGAATCAAACTGTTCTTTTTTCTTTCAACTTTTTATAAGTTCGTTATTTTGATCAACTCTTTTAGAAAAGAACATTTTTAGAGAACCAGTGAAACTCTCCGGTGGAAGCGATTCATCGAAGTCTTCTCAAACACAAAACCCACCGGCGATCACCATTCAGAAGCCGCTTGAAACTCCAGCGGAGGTAAGGAAAAATTAATGAAAAAGTATTGCTTACATTTTAGACAACCGAAGCTCGAGTGTTGAAAGATTACAAAAAGCGAGGCGAAGGAGACATCTCGGTGCACAAAAATGACGTCGTTGAGGTTAATCGCTTCTAGAATTGAAAAAGGGAATTTATGGAATTTGTAGAAGCTTGGGAATTTTTCCGAAAGACGCTTGTCTACAGTAACTTATTTGATTTGATCTGATTCAATTCGAATCCGATCTCAACTCATACAGCACATTAATATAGTTTCTACCAAAATAGGAAACGCAAATACCTTGAAAATCAGGCAATAGAGATCTAAGCTGAGTTAGCTCGTTAGAGAGCTTAGCCGCCAGTCATTGTTTGGAAAAACATTCGTAAGCCGTCCAAAACTAGTTAACTTTTTTTTATACCAATTGTGTGTAGAAGGAAAGGTTATTGTAAAATCCCTTGATACAGTGAAACATCTGTAAATTCTAGATACTCGAGTCGAACGGTCGATGGAGCCGCGTTCGAACAATCGAAGGCCTCGTCGGCTTCATCCCCAACAAATACCTCTTAACACAAAATAAATAATCTTTTTTTTGCGTGTCTTTAGTTATTTTATTTATTATTCATCCACTACAAATAAATTTGTAAAGAAAAATAGCATGCATGCGAAGAAAATAAAACCGGAAATCAAAATCAAAATCAATAAAAGTCGGCAGAATCAAAACACAGAACATGTTGAAAATGGGAAATCAAAAGCTGAAATAATACCTAGAATCTTAATCATCAAAACGAAGTAATACTGGAATGAATCAATAAAGCTAAAGTAGGGAAATAAAGTGGCAAGCAAGTGCTTAAAGGTTGAAAGTTATTAACAGAATCAGAAGATCAATAAAATAAGTGAAGCATTAACAAATGATACAATACATTGTTTCTCAAATCAAAGTTAGAACAGTGTGTAGAGCATAGAAATTTACAATATAGTGAAATTTTCTCGAAAATCACAATCAGAGTTGGCTGCCGTATCCCATAATTCAGTTAGCAGAGCTTATAGTAGTTTCTATCATAGTTGTAACGATTACTTAACGTCAACTAATTTGAAGATGACTGAATATCGATACAAAATCAAAAGATCGAGATTTGGCGTCTGAACTGGGCTACAGCAACCTGGTGATTGAAAAAAGCAGTACTGAAAAAAGGCTATCAATAATGGTAACTCAAATTATTAACGAATGGAACAAGTCATTGGGTGGACCCCGAGAAAAAGCCTTGATACGGATTTGTGGCCGAGGCATAAGTGGTTGATGGATATTGAGAGGCATAGTACTGTTGATAGGTGCTGTCGAACATCTAGAAATTTGTTCATAAACAAAAATAAGTTTTAATTAGATTTTTCAATAGATTACAATTTCGTTACCTGTGGATAATACGCTGATGAATAGAGCGGGTAGTAGCTGTTCACATTTGACGTCCCGAGAGGCAAAGCGGGAAGGGCGGTTGTTGTGGAGGAGTGGAGAGTCTGAAGATTTCGAATGAATTTGGTGGTTATATTTTTGCAATTATGTACTTTTAGGTTATGGAACCAACTCAATTGCTAATAGTAAGAGTTAACGAAATGTTTGATGTGGAAAAATGCTCTCCCTCAAACTCATGACACTTTGCATTCCATTGACAATCTATCTTGGCTTAATAGTTTGTTTGAACGTGACTATTTGTAAGAACAATATTTTCTTTACTCTTTAACAATCCTTACCGTAGCATCACTGCTCGTGCTGCTCCACGACAAATTTGCGGCCCCATTTGATGGAGGGGAAGCAGTCGATGAAACGATTGATGGTTTCAATGGGGAAAGAGTAGCCAATGCTCCTTTTGCCGATGGAGAACTGAAAAAGGATAAAGTTTATCATTAAGCTGTCATTTTTATAGTTCGAATTTTGCTCACCCCTCAATTGTGCTCGTTGCCACTTGAGCATTGTAGTCGTTGTTGGAGGCGGGAGAGTCTGATTCAAACTTTGGCTGAAATTTTGGGAATAATTATCAAAGCTTAAAAGTATAAGTGAATCCGCTTAATATGGTCATTCACTTACCGTAATTTGCGCAAGGGGTACTGTAGTTGAAAGAGTCGGCGATGAGACGGGGAGAGCCATTGGAGGAGTAGTGGTGGTGAGACTTGTTGGTGGACGAGAGTGCCCGGTGAGTGATTGAGGTGACGCGTGCATCTCAGCTCCTGGAAATTGCAAAGTTTATGAATTACAAAAGTGCTGCTTCTGTGCTTTTAAATGTGCCTCTACCTGAGAAATCTTGCTTACTTCTATTCATTTCCTTTTTTTGTTGGGCTACAGTTTGCGCCACCGTTTTCGGCTTTTGCTTCTCTTGTTGGCGATGCTTGGCACGACGGTTCTTGAACCATACCTAAAATTTGATTTAAAAGATTTTAAGGTAGTATTTACAGTCATGAACAAAAGTCTTGGAAATTTAACAGAGTGACACGGAAATTTTGAATAGCTGCCTGCCCGTGTCCACCGATAGACATGCGATGGCAATGGTGACATAAACTAGACATTTTGGCTTTCTGAGCAGCTATCACACAGCTTATTTAGTTGCGATTTAAAAAAGTTAAATATAGGTTAAAAAAAGGTTTTTTCACTGTGATTGATGGTTGTGAAATTGATGAAAAATAATGTTACCTTTATTTGACTTTTTTTAAATCGCAACTAAATAAACTGTGTGATAGTTCTTCTCTTTAGAAAGCCAAAAATCTCGAGTTTATGTCACCATTGCCACCGCGTGTCTTTCACTTGACAGGGGCAGGCAGCTATTCAAAATGTTCGTGCCATTCTGTTGAATTTCTATTACTGTAAATCTTGCTCTTCTTTAAAAACAAAAGGTTTCATTTAATATTTGGAAACTTTAAAAGTTCAACTCTTAGCAAGTCTCTCATTTTTCCATTTGCCATAATTATTCTTCAAATTGTTTATTTCTTCTTAAATCAACTTTCCCCCTTTAATCTCAACTTCATATCTGTCAATTTAGTGAAGGGCCGATCGGTGTCCGCGCGTGCTCAACGAAAGGATGGAGAAGAGGGAGTGGGGGAAAAGAGATAACGATTGCATCTCTCCTCTTCTCTTTCACGGTTACCGTACCCCTCGCAAAATGGAGAATCTTATAGCAATTGATTGTAAACTATATGTTTGTAAATTCCAGCAGTTTATCGTGTTTTGTGTATAGTTAGATTTCCTCAACACAGAACACTTCCTTTACGTGGATCGTTTAAAAAATAACTACCTTTTGCTATACTTATATCGCAAAAATTGTACACGAAGCTGATCTTAAACTATTTAGAGCAGTTACTATAGCTTTGCGATAAGGGACCCTCTGCATCGTGTTGAATCGAATTGACTTTCACTAATGAATGAGTAAGGAACTTGTTTGTCAACTGTATGAAAATGTATATTCTATTCTAACTTATTTTTTAAGCCAACTTTAATATTTCTATAACTGTTTCCCTAAAATATAACTTTTACAAGCAAGCTTCACTCGCCTGAATCCTCGACTCTTGCAATTGGATCTGTTCAGCGATTTGCTCCCTCGTGAATACATCTGGATAATGAGTCCTCGCAAACAGACTGAAACAATTTTTTGAAATGCAAATTTGACAAGAAGTGTTAGTTAAATAGTATCATATTAGAATTTAAGGGCTAATGATAAACTAATGGTAAGTTTGTGTTCAAACCTCTCCAAAACGTCGAGTTGTTGTCGATTGAAAGTGGTGCGTTCACGGCGATTCTTTCTCGGGATCATTCCTGCAAATAATGATGTATGAAAAGCTGCTTAAGCCTTTAATAGCTTGAGCCTTACTTAAGTCTTTAATAGCTTATTGGTAATATTTAAAAGCAAAACTATAATAAGTTTACCATATGCAGTGGCAGCTGAAGGAAACATGGCAACGGCAGGAATCGTTGCTCCCATTCCACCATAGCTGAAGGCGGCCTGGAAATAAAAGTAGTTTTTTGAAAAGCTAATGAATTTTTAAGCAATTCAAGCTGCGTTAAATGATATGGCTTTTACAAGGAAAAGACACCGAATCAAGCTGGCCTTTTGACTCGAGACCAGGTCCATCTTATAGAATCGACAATGGGATATCGAATCCGTTTTTAGTTTTTGCAAAACGTTTGACAAACGTGAGATATTTCAGATAGAAGATCACCTTGAATTTCGAGCTCCTTATGAGGCCGTCACACGCTTGTCTAGTGGATAGTCTGCCAGACTACCGAACGTATTACAATTTTTGCCCCAAGTTCGAGCCCCATTCTCGCCTTTTGCTTTTTAAAAACTGTTTCGTTACGTATTTACATTGAATTATTGACTCGAGTTTTATACCGCGATTTCTGTAACTTCCACAAATAATTTACAAAAGCTGGAACTATCTAAAATATCAGAATTAGTGATAAATATTGAAAAATTTGACATTTGCTGCCACATTTCTGAAAGCTACTGTTAAGGAAGCCTGTGACAGCTTCTTAAGGAGTCCAAAATTTAGATATCAGGCGTTTGCAAAGGGTCCTACAAAAACAGAAAACGGATTCAAGATCCCATGGCCAACTCTATAAAATCGACCTGGTCTCGAGTCAAAAGGCCAGCTTGACTCGGCACCTTTCCCTTGTTAGAAACTAAAGATTATCATGCTATCGAATGCTCACTTGTGCCGTTGCCGCCGATGATGATGGAAAGTGAGTGTATGCGGCGAAAGCGGCAGATGAGTACGCCATCTAAAGTAATGTTTTCGATAAGTTTTCAATGTAAATTTGAGAAATTGTTGAACTTCTTCAAGAAAATGCAATCTCATACTTAAAGCATTGTTTAGTTTAGAAAATTTTGTTCGGAACACTTGGGAAAGATTAACTAAAAATCCAGCTAAAGTAAAAGCTCTTACTTATAGCCGAATTTCTCGAAAATGGTAAGTTCGTTGATGCAAGCTTTGAGAATTCTCTTCAATATTCTTAGTTTCTTTATTGACTCTAGAAGCTCTTGATAAAGCCCCAGCGACCACCTACACATTCACTTCATTGTTTACCCATTATGCAACAAATACCCCTAAATTTGGGGCATCTAATCATTCCCAGTCTCTCCAGTTGCATAACAGCTTTGCAACAGATAATCAGTATTAGTCTAAAACAATCCAAATGATCGTATAAGTAAAATCCTATTAGCAGTAAACAGATAATCTGTGAGTGTTGAGCTTCTATAAACCTATAAAGCTCTTATGGGGAAAAGCGAGTGAAAACAAGAGCATGATTATCCCGAGGAGGTGACGAAAATCGTCTATAAGCGTCGGGGAAGAGAGTGAGACTGAAAATCGTTTGGGTTTTGAAAATGGTAAGAGGCTTAGGGGAGGGCTTGGCACTCCTTGAAATAACAGAGATAGAGAATTTTGGGGGAATTTTTTGGACAACGGACGTAGCACCGCCCACTGACGAAGGTTTGCAGAGACTGATTTGGGGAAAAGAGACTGAAACTGAAAGAGGGAACAGATAGACAGCTAGGGGAAATTTATGAATGGCTGGGTGAGTTTTCGAGAAACTACCGTAGTTGGCAGCTGGTTTGGGATTCATGGCCTGAGTGATTCCACAATAATTATAAATCTTTGATGGTTTATGTCATGGTTTCTTAACCATAAAAAGCCGGATTCAGTGGTTAGCTAAGGAGGTTAACTGTACTATAGTGTAGTGGCTTTATAATATCTAAATTATTCTATTGCAGTGATTTTGTAATATCTAAATTGTTGTGATTTGATCAATTTGATAAGTAGGCTGAAGGATCTATTGTAAATACCGTAAAAACTCTAATAGAATGGCCATCTCGGCCGTCGTCGCTTCGAGCGTCGTCGAGCGTCGCGTCGTCTAAGTTTACTCTCAAACAAACGCTCATATCTCGACGTCAGTACGTTTGTTTCTACGCGTTTAGGTATCAAATTAAAATAGAGAGGGTGGGTGATTTATTTGAAATATAACACATATTTTTAACTTTATCCAGTGCCTAGAAAAAGATGATTGAAAATCGGCAAAAATTGGCTTTTTTTTGCAGAAGCCAAGTCTGGATCAGGCTTGGGCTTACCACGTTACGAAAAGGTTTATAGACATGAACTTGTTTGAACTGACAAGTCCCAGATTTTCGCAGCCTATACTTAAAAATGCTTAAAATTAGAAATAAAAATGCTATACAGACTTTTTGGCAAAATATATCCTTCTGGTTCAAGCAACATTGCCAGATTGTAAGAAAACTGGATAACAAGTTGCCAAAGAGTCTACGATTTAATCCAGTTATGATTTGACTCATTTCGTATTTCCCAATAGACAGGTAGTCAAAAACTTTTACCATTCCATCTCACCCGATTATGCAAATGACCCCTGTTTGTGTGGCAGAGAGCGGAGGTGACTGTATCATTGTTTCGATATCAACCACCCCACTCACTCCGCCATCACTTGAATCTACATATTGATTGGCCAGTAAAGGGCTGACAACAATGAGAAAAATATTTGATTTCAATAATTGTGAAACTTTTGAAGCATAGAACTTATTTTAGACCAAAATGTTTAGCTAGCTATTGGATTGCAATGGTCATTTGGAATACTTGTCTTAGTTTTAAATGCCGAACAGTTAAATGTTAAAAACTAAAGCCTAAACCGTTTTAAGCTGATCTGATTAAACGTTTTTTCATTTTCCTAAGAAAAAATTTCATTTTATTCACCTAGTCGTGGAAAATTGATCTATCAAAGTTCTACCCAGAAAGCAAGTTTTCAAGTGAGAATCGATCTCAAGTTGGAGTACTATGTACAAAGAAAACAAGTGACAAGTTTTGGCTTTAAATTGACTTCAAGCTAAGAATCAAAATTATCAAAAATCGCGCATGAACTCACTTGTTTCGCCGTCAAATCTTTCAAGCTCAATGAGGCGAGCGGATTGGCCGGCTTGCTCTTTTTCTTCATCTTGCTCATCGTTAGGAATCAAGAATTCAAAGAAAAGAATTTATGAATCTATGAGGTCAAGCTATTAGTGAAATGAATGGTTGGAGATGAGTGGATGAATCCCTTTCTTCAATTTTATCCCACACCTGGGGCGTGGGGACCGGAAACACGCACTTACCTCCCATTAGAGAGAGGATGGGCCCCAATCTTGAGTCCTATGATAGTCAGGAATGATGTTCAGAAATGAGAAAAGATTGTATTGATTACAAAGTAATAATTTGTTTATAAATATCTTGCCTGATTTTTGGGTGGTTAAAGGAAAGCCATAGTTCAGCTTTAGTTTGCTTTTATTCTTAAATGAATTTTGGCTCTAGTTTTCTTTTATTCTAGATTACTTTAAGGCATTGTAATTTACTGTATTTGAAACCCGTCATTTAGTGCAATCTATCCAAGCATTTTGGCTGAGTGGCTAGCAGTCTTGGCTAACGTTTCAAAGAGCATGGAGTCGATCCCGGTCAGGGAAAATATACTTTGCCCGCTAAAAGTCACAAACGAAACCTAAGTACTGTAATATTTAGCTTAAAGCAATAAATTTTATCATTAGCACCATTGTCAAGCAAATTGCTAGCCAGCGCTAACACTTTTACGACATGGGCGTGGCTTGGATAGTCCAATAAGCGGTCACCTCTCTCCCAGCTGACTGTAACCTGATCAAGCTTAAAAATGCAAGTAAACTTTACAAGATCAAAGAATTTTATCAAAAAATGCGTCATAAACTTTGCAGGTCAATAAACGGAAGTGCCTCTCGCGCAAATACATATTTTTCGGAAGGATTAGGATGGTCGCTTTTTGCGAAAGGACACCTGGGAGGATCCAAGGATTACGAGAAGGGCTTCAGAGCTCACGTTTTTCAAAAATTAAATGAAAACAGTTAGGAGTTTTTGGTAGATTTTAAAGGTAATGGAGTGATGAGAGGAAAAACTAGAGCTTAGCTTTTAAGCTGTTCCATGAATTCAGGAAAAACACTGTTTGATAACTGTTTCTGTTGGAGTAAACAGTGTTCCTATCTTTTATTTGAAATTGCTTCGTTTTCTTTATAAGTAGCCTTCACTACAGTAATCCTGAAGATCTGTAGAGTGGGAAACCTATAGTTTTCATCCTTAAAAAGGTTTAAACAAGAAGAACTTGACCAGAAACCCTACTCTTGCTTAGTTCGATTAACCAAATTTCACAACTTTGAAAGGTTTTAAAGGATTGGGCCTTGAAAGAGACAAAAAGTTTTATGAACAATTGAACTAAACAGTGAAAAACTTTCTACATCAATGACAAATTTTATCCAGAGCAATTCAAAGTGGATTCTTTGTACGAGTAATAGTGATATCTAGTTTAATTTATCATGATTTATCACTTTTACCAGACAATAATAACATGATCAAGTTTCCAAGAGGAAGTGCCATGATTGCTTGTCTAAGAACGAAACTCCAAAAGATCAAGAGTTAGTCTTAGCATGTTTATATTATTTTCTTGAAAGATTGGAAAAAAAATTGTTGAGTTGATCATAGGCAAATGAAGAGCTAACAAGATATCCCAAGATCGAATAGGGTTTCCTTGCAATTGCTACAGGATTACGGGTTTCTTTCACTCATTCATTCATCAGATATTGAACAAAGATGTTTTGTGAGAATAAGAGAAACAAGGTAAGAAAATAAGAGAAACAATTACTCATGAAGTTCATAGAAAGGTTTCAAAAATTGGGAGTTTTTCAGAGATCATGTAGTCTTGTCACAAGTGTCACAGTCACATAGCTCAATAAATAAAAATGAAAGCTTTGGTCGACTTTCATTTGGTTTAGTTGCACAATTCGGTACAATGCCAAAACTTTCATACAATAGAAAAACGTTAAGTTAGCTGCAATTGCTCAATTAAACAATAAAACAGAATCACCACTTTACATCTGAAACTCACAATCTTCTTGCTAATAAGTGTTGCCAAAATGTTCTATTACAATTTCGTCGAACTTTTGGAATCTCCTTTCAAATCTGGTACGAAACGTTAACATCTTTTCAAACTTCAAACGTGTTCGTATTCTCTCAATGAGAAATTCGATGAAAGTTTTAAAGACATTCGGCTAAATTACAATGATAACAGCTCTAGAAACATGAACCTAATCGATACATTAAAGTGTTCTTGTAAAAGTTATGAGAACAATTTGAGTTTTTCATGATACTTTATAGCTAGAACTACTCCAGAACTCCGGAAATGACTGTCTCTTGTAAACTCTTTATGACACCCATCATAAAGGAGTAATTAGGGGCAAGGGTGAGGATCGGCCACAAAAAGAACTGTGAGAGAGACAGCCGGTAAGAAATGGTACCACTATGCAACAGTTGGATCTCTTATTGAATCCTTTTCCCCATTTACTACCAAATGGTTAGTCTGAACCAATTTGGTGAGCCACTTCAAGAATTGAGCAGTTGAGATGGCCTTGGGGTCAAACTTGATGTGCAAAAGGTTGAAGTTTAGTAATCAAACGAAGAATAGTATGCGTTTATTACAGATTTGAGTTTAAAATTCATTAAAGCTTTAAATAGAGTTTAATTTCGCTAAAGTATAGAAAAAAGTGAGTCGAGGAGTCGTAGAGTTAGAGGGAAAATGTTTTTTTTTTGAAAACCCATGACAAGTTTTTACAAAAAAGTGTGTTATAATTATGAAAAACTTGAAAATAAAATTTCTTGATGAAGACCATTTAAATGGGTCTCTTATCTGCTTAATGACCAATCACCTAGTAACGTACCCCCGGTTGA